AGGTTCCTCTGTTGAGTCTCTGGGCCGGTAAGAGTCTGTCTCTAGTAAAAGGAGAATTTATGCCCTGTCTTTAGGTATAAAAGGGGGAGATTTTGATAGGTTTGCTGCTTCTAATTGCTTTGAGCTCAAAATAATTTTTATGTTATAACAGCATATTTAGAGGTTTCCTACATAGGCAACACCTACCATCACCTCAAATTCAACTTGAACTTGATTCCTGAGCCTGCCTAGCTGGTTCACTTCCACCAGTGTTCCTGTTTCTATGCCTGTACCCACTGTTCTTCAAACCTCTGATGTGCGACACTTCCAAGGTCACCTTTAAGCCATCTATCTCCTTCTCATCCCTCACTGAGTCCCACCAACTCTGTGGATCATCTCTTCTAACTCTTCCTGGAATCTGTCCTCATGTTCGGACTACTTCAGTTTTGTTTTGTTTTAAGATTTTATTATTATGTAATCTCTATACCCAACGTGGGGCTCGAACTCACAACCCTGAGATCAAGAGTCACATGCTCTACCAACTGAGCCAGTCAGGTGCCCCAGGACTATTTCAGTTGTAAGTGACAAAACCCAACCCAAACCGGCTCAAGCACCAAAAGAACTTTATTGGCTCCATATCTGAAAGGCTGGGTCTAGGCCCTCATAAGACATTTTCAGAAATTGCCTTTCTCCACCTCTTGGGTCTGTTTTCTCTTTGTTGTTTTCATTATCGGGCAAGCTTTTCCCCTGCTGTATCAAATATGGAAGGTGAATGCTTCATGATCCTTGTATGACTGAGGAAATTCCTATTTATTCCTATTCTGTTTCTGCATTTCAAATTGAGCTCTACTGGCTTGCTTTTTGCTTTTCATGCTAAATCATGAAATTCCAGTGCCTGACTTAAATTAAAAAGAAAAAGAAAAAGCAAGTCTTCATAAATAACAAAAAGAGTCTCAGAAAGAGATGAAGGAGATGTTTGCTCTTCAGTAGCCTCCGAGGAAGAAAGACCTCTTTACATTTACAACTTGTTAAAAAAGATCTGATTTAATGGGGTGTTAAACTGATAACATTCATTGGAACATCAGACTTGTTTTTCTGTGCAATATAGAGACTTCTGTGGATATTCCTAAGTGTTACCAACTTGTTCTGTTCACTGTCTTTGGAAGAATAATTCGAACAAAGGGGTCTAGTAAAACAGCTAAGACTTTAAGAAATGTTGTGAAAATAACCTTCAAAGAACAACCTGTATCTATGATTTGTTATCTTACTTGATAATGTGTTGGCCTGGTAATAATGGTGAAATGCAGAATAGCTTCTGCATTTATGAAACCATATAAACTCTTACAAATATTTTAGTGTCCGTGCACTAGTTTCTGTTACAACTACTCCACTCAGCCCTTGTTAGCACCAAAGCAGCCAATAAGCAAATGGGTGTGGCTGTGGTCCATTACCACTTCATTTAAGGACATTGAAGTTTGAATTTCATACAACTTCCCTGTGTCATGAACTACTATTTTTCTTTTGATTTTTCAACTATTTAAAAATCTATAAGCCCTTCTTATGGCTCATTTGTACCAAGTGCTTGATCTTGAACTGTCTTCCTCCATTTATTCACGTAGCTAACTCCCTTATCTCCTTCAAGTCTCTGCATTTCCCTTTCTCAATGAGGCCTAACCTGACCATCCTGTTTAGAACTGCAACCTGCATCATTTCCCACTGCCTGCCCCCCACGGTCCCCACCTCTACCCCACACTCCTCTTATTTCATTATGATTTTCCCATAGGACTTACACATTCTAAAATACTAAATACTGTACTTATTTATAATAATATTGTCTTCCTTTGCCAGATGGCAAGCTGTCTGGGGGCATAGTTTTCTGTGTATAGGTTCACAGGTGCATCCAAAGTGCCTGGAAGACTTCCCGGCATCCAGATGACACTTAACAGCTTTGCTGGATAATTAAACAGATGGATTCATGACCCATCAAACCCTAGATCAACCACTAGGTTGGAGTTCAGGTTATTTGATGGTAAAAGTTGGTTTCTCCTCCTTGAAGCATAGAGGACTTAGTATTCAGAGATGAAATTGTCTAGGATTCACTTCCCGTTGGACACTTCATTCAAGATAGGCCAAAGGAACTCCTTCGAATGCAGGAAAAAAAGACAAAAGATTTTCTTGTAAAAAAGAGATTGAATGCTTATAACTTATTATACTTCTTTTCCAGAATTAGCTTTATCCCCTACTCAAGTCTGGTGGGTCCCTTCAGCATTCTGTCTGAATCCTCTTTCAACTGCCCCACACCTGGGGGTGGCTGGAGCTGACGACCAGAGACAGTTCCAAATGACTGGAACCTTAGAGCACTGAAATAGACAGTCAGGTGCAAACAACTTAGGTTATTGTTGTTGTTGTTGCTGTTGTTTTGCATTAAAGGGTCAATTGCAGAAAACAAATCTTAACAGATGCTTTTTTCCGCTTGTTAAAGAAATGCATTATCTGCAACTGCATGTAAACATTCCTTTATTATTTTCCCTTCCTTGTCTGGTTCATTTTTTCTTCTTTTTTTTCACTAGTATTTCATTGATTATACAACTAGCATGCACCACAGTATATGCCTATAGCTGCAGCTTTGAGCAAATTTCAGTCGAGGTAAGACACTCTTGAAATTGGTTTTCTTGATTCACTCTTTGAGCAGCTTAGTTGGAAACTATAGATTGTCTCACAGTGCCTCCTTAAAGCTATACAGGTATGCCCTGCTTTTCAAAAGTTTGCATTATGCTACTTCACTTTTACAAAAGACTGCTATCAGCCCCTCTTCTTGCTAACTGTAAGAAATCTACGGGGATTTTTGCTTTTATAATAAAAGGCGAGAAGCAAAAATAGTTTGCAACTTTTGTTTTGCAGTGAGCCATCCTAGAGACAGTAGCACCCAGAGCAGCAACAGGGGCACAGCCAAGCCCCCTTCCCCAAGAACTACACTTAGCATCTCTGCATCAAGCCTCAGGGCTTTGAAGTCTATCTGTGAGCATCTGTGCTTTATTTTGATTTATTTTGTGCATTCATTAGTGAGATGTGTTTTAAGGTATCAGAAAAGCCTAAGAGAGGTCATTTGTGAGTTCTGGGAACACTTACAATTTTTTTTCCATATAAATTAATGGTAATTGCTTCTTAGCTTACACCATTTATAGCTTATGAAAGTTTTCATAGGAACGCTCTACTTTCGGATAGCAGGGGAAACCTGTATTTTGATCTAACAGCACACTTTGCATTTTCCATAAATTATTACTTTCTAACTCTAGATTATAAGTATTTTTTTACGTATGTATTTTTGCTATTAAACTTCCTGAAAATATTTTATTTTATGCCCCACAAGTGCTAATACAGTATTTAATAATAATCTGTTGAATGAAATGAAACATATAGAATTGGCTTACCCCCAAGAACTTCAGTAGCTCCTCTTTTCATGGCATGAAAGGCTTTTCTTGATCAGGCCCCCGTCTCTGCCCACTGTCATATCAGCTGTCATTCTCTCCTACCTTCCAGATCCCATAAGCTCTAGCCCCTCTGGACCATGCTGCTGCTCACTCCTTGCCTTTGTACATTTGCCTCCCTCAAAACACATTACCCTTTGACTGCTTGGTGAACTCCTGGCCATCTTCAAGCCATAGTTCATACTTATTTATCTGTTTATTGGTTGTCTTCCCTTGGTGGTCTTTTAAATGTTATGAAAGTGGGGGCCTGGTCTGTCTTGCTCACTGCTGTCTCACCCATGTCTGAAAACAGGGACTCGATCAGTCTTAAATACAGTAAGTTTTGACTATTTCCAAAAGGCAACAGGGAATCACCCAAAGATACTAACCATTAAAATATTATAAACAGATTTTTGTTTTAGAAAGGCACTATGGTTGCTGTAGAGAGTGGGAGCGAATGGACTGGAGAAGGCAAGACTGACCCTAAGAAATCTGATCATTGGAGTAAGCAAAAATGATGAAGGCCTGATTTGAGGTAGCATCAGTGGGCTGGGAGGAGGTGAGGGATCTGAAACATGAGAGAACAGCAGGAATGGATGATCTATGGGATGCTACGACAGGGGGTGAGAGGTAGTAAAGGATGGCTCCCAGTTTCTGGCGTCAGAGATTCCGCAGCTGGTGGTGATGTCTGGAATGATCACAGTGTTACAGTTGTATGTTTACTTGTGGGTGTCTCCCAACTAGTCTGAAAGGGACCTTGCTAAAAGTCTTTGAATTAGCAGTGTAACAAGAGCACCTATTGGGCACCTGGGGGCTCAGTCGGTTAAACAGCTGCCTTCAGCTCGGGTCATGATCCCAGAGTCCTGGGATCCAGTCAAGAGTGGGACTCCCTGCTCAGTGGGGAGTCTGCTTCCCCCCTCCCCTGCTCATGCTCGCTCATGCTCTCTCGCACGCGCGCTCTCTCAAATAAATAATCTTTTTTTTAAAAAGAGCACCTATTATGTGGGAGGCACATAATAAATGAATGGATGAACACATTAAAAATACTAAACAGGGGCGCCTGGGTGGCTCAGTTGGTTAAGCAACTGCCTTCGGCTCAGGTCATGATCCTGGAGTCCCGGAATCGAGTCCCGCATCGGGCTCCCTGCTGCTCAGCGAGGAACCTGTTTCTCCCTCTGACCCTCCCCACTCTCATGTTCTCTCTCTCTCTCTCTCTCATTCTCGCTCTCTCAAATAAATAAAATCTTTAAAAAAAAAAACTAAACAGTACTTCTATGGCCCAATGAGAGGAATGGCTAATAGAAATTCTACATTTACTATTCTCTGCCTGCTCTATCAAGAAGGCAAGCAAAAAAAGAGGAAACTTGGCTCGGAAAACGAGATTAACTGGCTTCCCAGCCGCTTTCTGCCTATTGTACAACCAGGAAGCTGACAATAAAGTTTATTTGAGCGTCGACGTGCCCCGACGTGGCCCCGCCTCCCCAGCCGGAGCCGCGATTGGTGGGTATTCGCCGGCTCCGCCGTTCCTAAGCTCCGATTGGCGAGGGCCGCCGTCATTTCGGAGTGTCCCGGCGTCTGCCCGCCCTTTCGCCGCGTCGCCGGTACTTGCGCCGCCCGCTCTTCCTCGCCTGTCCTCTCCCGGCCGAACCCGGGGGACCAGAGCGAGACGCGGGGACCATGTTCCGACGCAAGCTGACGGCCCTCGACTACCACAACCCGGCTGGCTTCAATTGCAAAGGTGAGGCGGCGGTCCGAGACCGGCCGCGCATCTGTGACCCCACCGGCGGTCGCTTCCTCAACGCCCCCACCTGGGCTTCCCACCGGGATCCTCCGCGGCCTTGTTTCCCCCCGGGGGCGGCGGGGAGGTGCCCTGGCCCCTGGCCCCTCTTTTCTTGGCCGCCAAGCACCTGTTTTCCGCCGCCCGTGCTTGGCTTCGGAGCCTCCTCACCCACTCCTGCCTGGGCATTGCCACTTTGTGTACTTGCTAAACTTCAGTCTCCACCCCGACCCCCCACCCACACCCTCACCCTCACCCTCAGCACACGAGAGAGTATTCGCTTTCTTACTTAGCTCTTCGCTCTATCTGCCCGGGTAATTGGGCGATATTTTAAGCACATTGCTGAAATCTGAGGAATGTGCTGAGTAACTTGAAGACTGGTTCACTGCCCGCCAGGAACTAAGGGGTGACTGGGAGGGGGGTGCAGTCGGAGCCCACCCAGCAGTTTGAAATCAAGAGAGTGCACAGTTAAGTCCAGGACCGACAGTTTTGGGGTAAGCACGCACGGTAACAGGCTTGTGGAGTCGTGCAAAAAAGTTAATAGGTGATCAGGGCTATTGAATTGTAAATGGAAAGGTATTTGGGATTTCCCAGCATTAAAATTTTAAAATGCATTAACATTGCTACCCATGTTATTCAGTTACTACCCACCACTACTCATTTCTTCCAGAGTTTTTGGCCTGTGGTAGACTAATAAGTTTGAAAGTGATCCCATACAACTCAGGGTACTAAGACCATTGTATAATTCTCAACACTTCATAATGGAAGCCTGAATTTGAAATTGAAAATTATTTCTGAGCAGTATAAGGGTGTTTTGTTGATCTCCTGGAGAAGAAAAAAAAAAGGGTCAGTGGCAACAGAGCTTCGATCTAGATTTGAATCTTTGGACTTCAGTTTTCTCATGTGTAAATTGGGGATATTACCTTCCTCAGAAAGCTGTGGGAGGATTAAATGAAATGAATGAACTTTTCTCATGTATGTACTTAGGACAGTAAGTGACAATGGTAGCTTCTATTCTTCTGTGTTGTCATTTAGTTTCTTGTACTTTGCTATAAATTTTACTTTGCCCAGTTCTCCCTCATTCTCCCCCCCTCAAAGGAACTGGAATAATAACCAACACTTAAATAGCAAAACTCTGTGCCAGACACTGTTTTTATATTTATTTTATCTTCATAACAACCCCAAGAGGTAAGTCCTATCATTACGCTCATTTTGTAACTCAAACTGAGGCACAAAAATTTAAGGTGATAAGCCCAAGTTCACACAACCACTGAGTGTCTGTAGCTAGAATATGAATGCACGCCAGAATTTGAACAGAACATTTGTTAATCTGTTCATCCAAAACCTGCACTTTCAACTCCTACTTCAAGCATCTCAGTTAATTTACTATTTGAGTTTTTTAAAAAATCCACAAGACCTTTTATTTGTAAGGAGAAAGTGTTTTTATCTAGTGCTTCTAGTAATTTATGAGATATTTTTGTTGCAGATGAAACAGAATTTAGAAACTTTATTGTTTGGCTTGAAGACCAGAAAATCAGACACTACAAGATTGAAGACAGAGGTAATTTAAGAAACATCCACAGCAGTGACTGGCCCAAGTTCTTTGAAAAGGTAATGAATTAGAAAGTTAAATAAAAGTAGTACAGAGAGCTTTTCTAGCAATTATGTGTTGACAGTTAAGCTTAAAATTACTTTGTTCTGGGGCGCCTGGGTGGCTCAGTCCTTAAGCATCTGCCTTCAGCCCAGGTCATGATCCCAGGGTCCTGGGATCGAGCCCTGCATCGGGCTCGCTGCTCCTCAGGAAGCCTGCTTCTCCCTCTCCCGCTCCTCCCCCCCCCCCCCCCCCCCCCTGCTTGTGTTCCCTCTCTTGCTGTGTCTCTACTTACTTAGTTCTTTTAAAATAAGTAAAAATAATGATCAGTGTTAGAAAAGCTGGATTTCAGGGATTTAATTTTTTTATTATGTTTGTTTTTAAAGCAAATCATACTATTTTTTTTTTTTTTTTATTTGACAGGGAGAGATAGCGAGAGAGGGAACACAAGCAGAGGGAATGGGAGAGGGAGAAGCAGGCTTCCCATGGAGCAGGGAGCCCGATGCGGGGCTCGATCTCAGGACCCTGGGATCATGACCTGAGCCGAAGGCAGATGCTTAACAACTGAGCCACCCAGGCGCCCCAAATCATATTATCTTTTACAGGGTTTCAGTGTTAGAAAGTTTTGTCTGAAAACACTGAGATTTCTTAAATAAACGGTGACATGTATTCTATAAATGGTAAAGGTGGCCAAAATCGGACTTTTTCCTTAGACCAAAAGGTAGCAATAACACACTTTTTTTTTTTTTTTTTAAGATTTTATTTATTTATTTGACAGAGACACAGCGAGAGAGACAGAACACAAGCCGGGGGAGTGGGAGAGGGAGAAGCAGGCTTCCCGCTGAGCAGGAGCCCGATGGTGGGGCTCGATCCCAGGACCCTGGGATCATGACTTGAGCCGAGGGCAGACGCTTAACGACTGAGCCACCCAGGCGCCCCCACACTTACTTTGTTAAAGGAAGACACTGACGTGCTTCAAAACTAAGATTATTTCTTGTTTGTGGTTCTGTTTAACGTACACAGATGTCCATTGTGCACAATATAAATAATCCTGAAAAGGTCTGTGTATATATCTTATTTTTGTGGCTGGACTAATTTTCCTGTTGACTTAGTGTAACTGTAGGAACATTTTTGCAGAAAAGGGAATTGTTTTCAAAGTAGAATAAAAATCACATTTTCCATTATTTACATTAAACATTTTAATTAGCTATATTACTTTGAAGAATAAGATATTTTCCTTTAAAAATATGAAAAGTGACTTTTTATTTGCTGCAAAGTGATCAGGTACTTTCTCTTTAGAATCAGAGACTATGAATTAGGGAAATGTGTAAGTTACACACTAGCTCTATGACCACAGGCAAGTTTTACTAAGCTTTCTGTGTCTCAGTGTTGTCATCAGTAAATGGGATAACAGTGGTTCCTATGTCAGAACAGTGGAATGTATTGTTAATGAGTGATAGAGAGCTATGCTTGGCCCATAACAAGTGCTATATGCTTTATTATTTCCCCCTGCCTGTACTACCATTATTGCTACTACTGGATTATTTTCTTTAGCTCTTAAAAAGTTTTGTTTGTTTGTTTTGAAATTTTTGATATGTTTAAGACTTGGAAATACGTTGTTAGGATTTTATATTTGTTTATATCACATCTCATGACCCATTCATGTAACAAGACAACAAATAGTTTCACAGAAGGGTATTTGAAGAATATAAAAAATTTTCTAATGAAAAACACCTAGAAGTGACAGTAAAGTAGGATAACTTAAATAAACAATCCAAACAGACATTATCTTTTAAGTTGGTCTCTTTGGAATGATGATGTCATTGTTTAAAGCATATTGATAACTTGTCGAATTACTTTTAGATCATGAGACATATTTTGAATATTTTTTTTTTTAAAGATTATTTATTTATTTGAGAGAGAGAGAATGAGAGATAGCACGAGAGGGAAGAGGGTCAGAGGGAGAAGCAGACTCCCCGCTGAGCAGGGAGCCTGATGCGGGACTCGATCCCGGGACTCCAGGATCATGACCTGAGCCGAAGGCAGTCGCTTAACCAACTGAGCCACCCAGGCGCCCCTTGAATATCTTTAATATTGGTAATTTTTTATACTTTGAAGGTAGATTTGTTTTTTGCATCATGACCAAATCTTGTGAAGTGTTTTCTTTAAAGCAGGGGTATAAAATTTTTGGTTAGAAAATGAGTTACAGCTGAAAAGTACTGATTTATTAATTAGTCCCAAAAGGATTTCCAAAGGGGAGTTACAAAAGTTTTGACTAATAGCATTGTTCCTGGAATGAGATTTTAAGCTCCTAAGAGACCCATTTGAAGGACAGTGGTCACTTGGATATACAGCTTCTGGCAATCATCTAAAATACTTGGTTACATTCTACATGTATGTCACATGGTTTACTCTATTCAGTGGCATTTCCATATTGTGAAAGCTAAAGTTTAGATAATAATTGGTTTATTTGTATATTCTTCTTTTTAAAGTTTTTTTTTTTTAATTGTTCCATGTGTTTTCAGACCTGAAATGAGAAAGTGTTAGGTTCAAGTCCCAGATCTAAGTTGTGTAAATATTGGCAAGTGTTAACTATCTAGGCCTTTTTTCCTCATCTGTAAAATAAGTTGTTTTAGAACAGTGGCACCCTTCCTGGAATCTGCAAAAGTAAAAATTTCCAAAAGCATGATGGAAATACATTTTTTCTTTAAGTGGTACATTTAAATGTTTCCTTCCTTTGGGTTATATAATTGCATCAACAGTTTAGTAATGTAAATGTTGTTTATATTCTTAGAGCTCCAAACTAAGATCTCTTTCAACTCTACCATTTTTTTCATTCTCTGTTGTTATAGTAATAATGAAACTAGATATTTTTTTTCTTCACAGTATCTCAAAGATGTTAACTGTCCTTTCAAGATTCAAGAGCGACAAGAAGCAATTGACTGGCTTCTTGGTTTAGCTGTTAGACTTGAATATGGAGATAATGGTATGTTTTGTGGGGAACGTGTGTTTTAAAGAGAGGGAGAGGAAAGGCGGGGGCAAAAGGAGTGTTAAAATGTAGGGAACTTACCAGTTTGAGCTTCTTTGTCTTACATTGTTTTACCTTGGGTTCGTTGTAAATAAGTTTTATATATCCTCATTTCCCTTTTTAGCATCTGTTAAAAAGTTTACTTTTGTAACCATCCTTCTGTGTCCAGCTCTCACCCCCCTGGTAACTCCCAAATTGTCTAGGAAAGAGTTTTCTTTTCAAAAATTATAGTCTTTTATCATAAAACATGAAAAGCAACTGTTTTTCATTGGTATTTAGATTTTTCTTTTAGAATTTGAGAATGGTGTCTCCTGGTAATTGTCTTCTCACAAAGCAACATTACGTTGGTAAATTTGGTATCTTTTACAGTCTGTACCTTAGCCTTCTGGGTTAAATTGTTAGAGCCCCAGAATTGATAAGGATTTCAGAGTGTTGGTTGCAGCAGGTAATTTCACAAGAGACTGAAGCATACATTTAATGCCAATAGGTACTATAGGCCAAAATATGTTTATTATTTATGCTTTGTGTTGTTTTATTATAGATACTTATATTATTGGAAACTTTTGAATATTAGTACCTGTAGTAAAAAAAAAAATTAATACCTATAGTTAAAAAAGAAAATCCAGTAAACTTGTGTTTCCTCTTATTAGACCATTTGATTTTGAAAGGCCTGCCAATGTCTAAATGCAAATCCAATTATCTTACCTGTATCCTCTGAGTTTTATGTTCTCTTCTATGGGGCTGTCACTTCTAGTCCTTTTCGTCTTCTGCTTTTGAAGCCTTTTTTTTTTTTAAGGTTTATTTATTTTAGAGAGGGCATGCATTTGTGCACACAAAGTCGGGGGTTGGGGGAGGGACAGAGGGAAGGAACCTCAAGCAGACTCCCTGCTGAGTGTGGAGCTCAAGGCGGCTCGGTCTCAGGACCCATGAGATCGTGACCTGAGCTGAAACCCAAGAGTGGCTCAGTCGTTAAGTGTCTGCCTTCAGCTCAGGTCATGATCCCAGGGTCCTGGGATGGATCCCTGCATCGGGCTCCTGCTCAGCGGGAAGCCTGCTTCTCTCTCTCCCACTCCCCCTACTTGTGTTCCCTCTCTCACTGTGTCTCTCTCTGTCAAATAAATATGTAAAATCTTTAAAAAAAAAAAAACCCAGGAGTCGGATGCTTAACCACCCAGGTGCCTCTTTTGAAGCCTTTTTGTCTTCTTTTTCCTCCCATTCTGTCACCATCCATCTTTTCCGATGTCCATTGTACCTTTTCTTCTTTATTCCCACTGCTATCACCCTGGTTCAGGCTCTTGTCATTTTCTGCTGAGATTATTGTAGTATCTTTCAAACTCATCTCCTGTTAGCGTCATCGTCTATTTTCATCCTCAAGGCCCACCAGCCTTACTTTTTGAAACATAAATGTTTTAAAATGTTACGCTTTGCCTTCAAAGAACAGCTCTTCTTATATATTCAGAAACACCATTGCTTTTCCTTTTTCTACAAAAGGAGCTCCAGGTCCTTTGGCCTGGTATTCAAGGCCTTTGAATACTGGTGTCTAACCAGTATTCACATACTTGACATCCCAGCCAGACTATAAGAGTGCTGTTCCCTGTTCACATCTTTTTTTCTCCCCTAGATTTCTTTGCTTACACTTTTCCTTGGCCATTATGCCATGTCAGTCTATCTCTACACATCCAAATTCTATCTATCCTTGTAAGATCCAGCTTAAATGCCACTTAGCAACAATAACACCTTTTCTCAACTTTCATAGGTTTTAACTCTATGCCTTCTATACTCTTTGTGTCATTCATCACTTTCCATTTTGCTTATATGCCTTATTTGCCTCATTGTTTCCTATGTAGTACCTCTATTTATTATTGATGCTGTAACAAATTACCACCAAATTCAGTGACTTAAGACAATTTATTTTACACTTTTGGAGGTCAGAAGTCCAACATCTGTCCTACTGGACTAAAGTGGTTCCTTTTGGAGGCCTTATGGGAAGATCCATTTCTTTGTCTTTTTTGCCTTCTAGAGGCTGCCTGCATTCCTTATCTCTGGCTCGTTTATCTTCAGATTTATAGCATAGCATCTTCAAATCTCTCTTGGGACTCTGCTTCTATACACCTGAATATAAGCCCCCCCCATTTCAAGGTCCTTAATCACACCTGCAGAGTCCGTTTTGCCATGTAACGTAACATAATCGTAGGTTCCAGGAATTGGGACAATGGACATCTTGGGGCTGGGGGGTTGGGGAGGCAGGGGGCCCAGTCATGATTTTACTGCCACAGTATCTGACACAGTAGATGTGCTTATCATCTTTAATAAATGTTTGCTGAATATAGCGTATGAATGTTTACGTATACTGATACGGAGCATCAACCAGTGTTTTTTGCTGGTTTCTCAGACTTAAATTTCAGAAGCCTCATGGCAGAAATCTTAAGGAAAACTCTAAGGCTTTCTTTACTTTCAATTTTAGTTTAGAAAGAAAATACTTGTGATTCTTTTCCTTTAATAAATAAATGTAATCATAAGCCTTGGTAGCATTAGTCGATTTTTAGGGTCTTTAGCAAAATCTTTATCTGTTGTGGTCTGAGTTGGCAGAAACTCTGTTAATTTGCAACAAAATTTTCTCCAGCTTTTCCAAAGTGTTTTTCAGCTATTCCCAAATAAAATTGTTGTCACATCTCAGTTTATTTCTGTTTTACCCTTTTTTTATTTTACTTGTACCGTTTTTATAATACTTCAATTTAGGTTACCTAGGTACCAAGAACAGTAGATGCCATATAATTGTGTGTCCCTACAGTTGCCTGTAGCTCTTAAGTACATTTATCTATCAGTGATAGCGTGATCTTTTTTAGTGGGGAAAAAAAAACAAAAACTGGGTTTTTGTATCTGAGTTTGTATCTGAAATATGGTAAATTGTTTTATATTGAAAAATTGTAATTGAATTTTATGTGAAACTTTAGGTGAATTATAGTTTAAAAGTAGGAAGTATCAAAAGCGTATTAAAAGTTTAAACTAGAAGACAAGTTTTTGTTTAATTTTTTGGAAAAAGGTTTAAAGTAGTAATACTGTCCCTTATCAATAGGAGGTGCTGTTCTTTTCTTTTACATTAACATGTTGCATTCTTCTTGACTTTTAAGGTATTTGAATTTTGTATTATTTGATGAAACCATTGTGGATTTTTATTATCTGTGCCTTAACACTTTTTGAATCCTTTCCTTAGCTTGTCAATTAAGGTGATTAAAATCTGACTTAAATGTTTTTCTTTTAAATTCTTTGACATAATTTCAGATTTACAGAAATTGCAAAATAGCACAAAGAATTTTTACATTTCCATATTTTGCAAATGTTAACATTTCATTTGCCTTATTGTCTGTGTACACATATACATATATGTAGTTTTTTCCTCAACCATTTGATAATAAGTTGTGAATGATTCTTTTCGCCTTACATACTTTAATGCATATTTCCAAAAAAAAAAAGACAGTCTCACATAATTAGAATAAAGTACTGACTCAGAACGGTTATATATAGCTGTTATTCACATTTCACCAGTTGTCTCAATAATGTTCTTTATAAAAGCAAAAAAAGCAATCCTGGACCATGTGTTTTACCCAGTTATTATATTTTTTTAGCCTCCTATCATCTGGAACATTTACTCAGTCATTATTTATGTTGACATTTATTTTGTAGAATGTCTCTCAGTTTGGGTTTGTTTGATGTTTCTTCATAAGTAGATTGAAGGTTTGTACTTTTGTTAACAATAACACAGAAGTAATGTGTTCTTTTAAGTTAGTGATATGCCCTGTTACTGGTCATGTTGTTCTGATCACTTCGATAAGGTTTCTCCACTGTAAAGTTAATATTTCCCCCTCTGTAATAAATATGTATCTTGTGGGGAGATACTTTGAGATGATGTCAGTATGCTTCTGCTCCTCAAACTTTACCTCTACCTTTAGCTTCCATTTGATTATTCTTGCCTGAGTCAATTACTTTGTTGATGATGGTTGCTAGAGGTGTTTTTCTAATTTCATCATTCAGTCTACATTTATTTGTTGGCTTTTTACTGTGAAGAGGAACTTTTCCTTCTCTCCAATTTGTTTGTTTAAATTAGTGTAGGTATGTGTATTCTTATTTTACTCAGTGGGCATAATGGTTTTTTTTGTTGTTGTATATTTTGATGTTTACACTGTTCTGATTTGGCCAGTGGGAACTCCTTTAAGCTAACCCCTGTCTGACTTAAAAGTTTAACGCTTTTATTTTCCCTCCTGTTTCAGTTACAAATCACAGAAACACTGTAACCAAAGATTGCATTTTGGGCATTACTTTTAGTAAATTATTATTAAATACTTAACATTTGTAAAGTCTTTTTAAGTATTGTTAAGTATTTCTCAAGTAAAAATAATAAAACCTGCCTTTGGAATTCTAAGTTTCAGGTCTCCATAGAATTATTTTAGGTTTATATATGATGGTGTATTTGAAGTGCTGATTTTTTTAGAAGGCAAGGTTTTTGGATTCCATATATGGCATTCAAAAGATTTGGAAAGAAACTTTTTAATGAATTTGTATAGAATCTCATGTAACCTATACCTACCTTCCTCCCACTCTTTACCCCTGCTTAAGTTTCTGAGCAAGCTGTAAATGTGCACCCTCTCTCCTCAGACTTAGATGGTGTTTGAAATGTCTTACTTTTGCAAATGATAATGAAGAGATACTTGTATAGCTATTTCGGTAATCATTTTAGCTTAATCAGAAAGCTACAGTCACATTGTCTTCTGATGGATTTTTTAATAGCATAAAATAACTTTGAATGAGTTATCTTAGTCTTACCAGTTTGGCTCAGGTAAATTCAGTAAATAAGCAATGTTTATTTTACCTTAAGGTACAGTTCTACAAATTGTATTTTTGCCTCTGTTTATAGCTGAAAAATACAAGGACTTGGTACCTGATAATACAAAAAATGCTGACAATGCAGCTAAAAATGCAGAGCCATTGATCAACTTGGATGGTAAGTATGTAAGTGCATAAAAATAATCAACTTTTTTGGTCCCTTAAATGTTCTTTATTTCCTAAAATGAGGAAGCCTGGGTTTCTTTGGTTTTAGTAAATTAAGAGTGCTTTATGTTGATGTTTTAATCTCTGTTGTTTTTTGTTATCATTTACAAGATGTTTTCTTCCTCCTCTTGTAGCTGAGTATCTGTTAGAACGCTTTTTGATCTCTTCATACTGATTTGGGGGTTTTGATTTGTATTTAATCACGGTGATTGTTTGCCTTATGCATTGATTGAATGCATAAAATATTTTTTCTAATCTAATGACATGAGACAAGTAAAATTTTTCATTATTTTCGCTTCCAGATGCCTTTAAGTATTCTCTTTTTAAAAGTATAAAGTTTCTAATTCTATTATAATTAAGTTACTGTTTCATGACAGATTCATTGTGACCTATAATTTACAAGTTACTTTTATGAATTAATAAGCTCCTTACCCTTATGAATTAATATACTGCTTAGACAGGCTGCTGCTGCTTAGAGAAAAGGTTTTGGGAAAATTGTCCATTGAAGGGGTCCAGTTTAAAATTAATAGCTTTGGGAAGAAATATTACTTAAAATTGCGACATAAATGTGCCTTGCAGGAAAAGTTACAGCACAATCCTTACGTGAGTTAACATAGTCATTGTTGTTCAGTGTGGCTTATCAATAGGGAACCCATTGATCTGATCAGCTTACCTAGTTGTCAATGTCCGTACACTGCTCTTAGCAGCAGTTTTAAAAACAAAGAGATTTTTTTTGTTAGGAAAATTAAAAATGTTTTTTTGTAAGTTTATGTGCTTATATATATGTCTGTAATTACATGCTTGCAGAGCTATAAGTATCCATTTTTAATCTTTTATAGTAAATAATCCTGATTTTAAGGCTGGTGTAATGGCTTTGGCTAACCTTCTTCAGATTCAGCGTCATGATGATTACCTGGTAATGCTTAAGGTTAGTTTCGTATTCTTGATTCTTGACAGTAACTGTATGTAGAAGAAAAACCTCATTTTCTAAAAATTACCTATGTTTGGTATGTAGATGTATGGCTAAATGACTGAAATGTGGAGGAGTGTGGGACTTAAAGCAGATTTCATGATTCCATCTGTTTTAGATTATCTAATAACCAATATGAAAGTGTGTTTACTTTGTGCCTGCTACTGTGCTCAGTCCTTGGCAAAGATGATTTCATTCAGTCCTCCCAGCAGTCCTGGAGGTAGTGAAGGTAGATGCTGCTGTCCTTTCATTTTAATATGAAGAAATTGAGACCTAAAGAGAATAATGTCCAAGGTGACACAGAAAATGAGAGAGCCAGATTTTAATCTAGGCCCTCTGACCAAAACTTTCATTCTATTAGCAGAATCTATTATCTTCCTACTTACATTTAGTCAATCCTTTTAAAGATTTGTGATCTGTATTCACTAAGATAATAGAAAATGCCATATGAGTCATGGTGGATTTGGTCAAAATCTCTTTGAGGACTGAATGTTTTTGTTTTCCTAGTGCTCCATCCTACATAGGCCACTCAGTTCATACCTATACTTAAGGTAACCCAATGATGTGAAGGAGATCTCTTATTTCTAAGAGGAAAAGTATACTCCTACTTCAGAAGATTATGTAACGTAATTGTGATAGTACAATGGGCCAGGATGGGGGGGAAGGGAGTAGTATTTAAGATAATTAAGATTCCAGACTTAGAAATTATTACTGATTTTATGAGAAATTGAAGAGCGTTTGACTATACTTTATACATGTAAATTACCTTAATCTACTTTGCAGTAAATTTAATAGTTAAATTCCATTCTACCCACCAGAGATTAGCCATAACTTATCCTACTCTTTTTAGAATTGTATGTACTAAATGATAGTTGTAACACGAGAAAAACTGTTTCTAGATTATTATAATTCTCTATACTGAATCTGCATGTTAACTCAGATTTTCTCAACTCAGATTGGATGCCAAGAGACAAAAAGTTGGGAGTTGGTAGAACATGTGACTCTTGATCTCAGGTTCATGAGTTTGAGCCTCACGTTGGGTGTAAAGATTACTTAAATGAATAAATAAAAACTTCTTAAAAAGAGACAAAAAGTTGTTTTTATTGAAATTTAGCTCTTTCAGAGGCTTGTTCCTTGCTCAGGCAGTTATGTATATTGCTTTGGAACAGTTGTGCAGTGGTCATGTCACCTTTAATCATAAACTGAGTGAGAAGACAAATAGACTAGCATATTTGGGGTACTTTTGTTAGACTTTAAAACCCCAAAGGAAAAAAGTATAAATCAGCAATAATCAAAAGCTTTATAAAATTGTAAGCTGCATGGTTGGAGTTATTTTAAGAAGCATTCAAACAATCCATGACAGCATGGAAAACATCTTGATAATTTGCCACATGTGAGAATCAATGTATTGACTATTGGGCAACTGAACTGATTAATAAATTTGTGACTCCTGTTAAAGACTGGTTTAATGGTTCTTTTTTAAATGTAGCATTTGGCTTGTTCTAGTAATAATTTTTCAAGTTTTTGCACTTGAGTTACAATTGTTATCCACTAATTAAAATTCCATTTAAAAAATCTTATTTTTTGAGTGTGCATGAATGCACTTGTATCTGCCATAATAAAATGCCTTGGTGATGAAGAAAAACAGTGTGTCGTATGAGAGATCTGAAAACATTTTACTATAATTAAGTGAAAAAAATTAAGGATAGTGTGTATGATATGGTACCCTTTGTGTCGAGTTTGCACATGTGTGTGCATTTATACTTGAGCATGCTTGTAATATAATAGAATCCTTGTAAGGATGCATAGTAATCTGGTTCCAGTGATTGTCTGGAGGGATGGTTGAGGTTTGGGTAGGAAGGAGACCCCCCCCCTTTTTTTTTTTAAACCACGTATCCTTTGTTTAAAAAAGTTTTTTCGTGCGTATAAATTACCTATTCCAAAAAATGTTTTTAATTGTTGTGAGCATCTTTCCACATTATAAAGTATTAAAATGAAAACTTTCATTCTATTAGCAGTTTTGTTTTTAATTTACTGGTGAATTTTGTTAATGAACTAGGTGATTCTAACTTCATCAAACCTGGGTATCCTTATTCTCTAGACTCAGAGCAGAAAAGATGAACAGCCAATAAAAAGTCAAAAAACTATTTTTGCGTTTCTTAGGCAATTCGCATTTTGGTCCAGGAGCGCCTGACCCAGGATGCAGTTGCTAAAGCAAATCAAATGAAAGAGGTATGCGTTATTTTTTAAATAAATTTTAGATTATGAATGAAAATTTCTTCTGGTATTGTCATGAGTTTAAATTTTGTATGTATCTGCTTAAGATAACCATTCTTTGTTAGAACTGCCCAGAGAAAGGGTAGCTTATTTCAGTGGGATTGAATTTGGTTCTTAAGCAAATTGCAGCCATTTTTGAGTGAAAAACTTATCTCACTTCATACCTTAAAGCAGCTATCAATAGCCCATCCACAATCTACCAGCACAAACCACTGCACATGCCCAGTGGTTTATTTAAGAGAATTTACCTTGTAAAATTTACTGGGTTATTTTGACTCATTGCTGGAAAATAGAACACACGTTGTCTTTCTTACCAATTTCCTTCTTTTGACTTAAATCCTGTCCTTTCTCTTTTGTTTCTTCAGAGAAATCTGTTCTCATTTTATTCACATTTCCTAGTATCACTTATGAGAAAGTAACTTATCTCAGGCCACCTAGTTGGTAAGTGGTTGAGCTCAGGCAGTCTAATTGAAGAGCCAAGTGCTCTTACGGTAGTTGGGGACAGAGGTCTTTGTGTGAAGGCCTGCATGAACTAGTTGACCACCCCACGTGAAGGGGTAGGGGCGTAGAGGCTATATTAGACTGTACCTGTCCTCTTTCAGTCCTACTTTGTGGGCTGCGGAAACTACACACCGTAACTATTTTTCCCTTAATTCTGCGATATTTTAGATGAAGTGCACTAGAGATCCAAATACTCCGTCAAGTCTCACTGACTGTCTGGACAGTGCACAGAATGTCCTCAGGGGTTAGCAGCAGCAGCTGCGGGTGTCTGATAGCGCTTCTTGCTGTGCATAGATACCGCAGTGAGTGCCTTGGGCACAAGGGACATTCTTGATTCTGGTCCTTTTTTGTCTCCCCTAATTCCCCAGTGTCTTTTGTCCTCTGATCTCATCTTTAGCAGGGCCCAGCAGTGTGAAAAGATTATTAATGCCAGGGCAGTGTAGTCCCCCCTGAAAGACACTGTTTGTTTTAAAGGCTCTTATTGCTTATTAATTATGTATGAATCAGGCCACTGGAAATTGGATTAAAGATCAGCTTCTTTCACCCACACTGTAGAACAGTCAGTAAATTGTTCTGGCATAATAAAATCATTCATTCATTCATTCAGCAAAACTATGCCTTAGGTTTGAAGGCAGTGTAAATAAGGGCATAGCCAGATCTTTTTGCTCTTGTTTGCAAAGTGAAATTTTATTTTCAGTGCTCCAAGTCTTAAGTTTAGATCATCTCAAGGTACGATGCTTTATAGTAACACATAGGAGAAGTTCTTACAGTTAGTGTTCTTGTTTATAACCATAATTAGCATTTGGTCAGGATCTTTAGGGGTAGCTGTTCCTTGGTGGTCTGTTGGCAAATAAAATGAAAACAAGACTGACATAGAAAGCCACTCAGTGCAATTCTACTTGTTAGTTTTGATTGCTGAATTTACATACCCGTTTATTTCTTCATTACATAATGTAGTATTTGAAAGCAGTTGGAGCCTAGGTAGATTTGCATTAATAGATTAGGCAAGAATCGAGTAGTGACAGCTTAGCATTTTGTAACATTGAAAGTATAGATTTTATACAGTATACGATCAGCAGAGTTTAGACTGCCTTTTCTTGTCGTTACTGTGAACTCCGTAGAGTCGGCATCATGGTCACCATCTTTGGCGTACCTCTGGAGAGCTGCTGGTGGGTTAATTAAATGCTTTAGAACCCGTTCAGTTTCCTAGATTTCAGAGTAACTTCCAAATGAACTCTTAGTGAAAGTTAAATTATATATAGGTAATCTCGTAATCATGCTAGCTGAAAAAAAGGTAATAGATGTTTTAGATTTTGTATAAAGACAATTTGATGTAATCCTATTCCATTGCCCTGTACTCTGCTGCTTTACTGTAGCTGAAAGAGGACAGAGCAGCCCCGCTCAGTCGCCCTTCCATAGCAGCCGCGGGGGAGCCTAGCCGTCAAAGGAGCTACTGTTTTATATGCCTAGTCTTAAAGGAGAGAATGGGTGATGGAACTAGCTTCCCACTACATGCAGGGGCCATTCTTGCACTCATCAAAAGGCAAATCTAGAGAGAAAATTCTCCACCCCCTTGCCACTGCAGCTCAAAGGGCTTAACAGAATACCTAGCTTAATTCAGTTACAGATGAGAACAGAACATGATTCTTAACTATAAAGTTTTATTTTGTCTTTTTTTTTTTAAGGGCTTGCCTGTTGCTTTAGACAAACATATTCTTGGTTTTGACACAGGAGGTGAGTGATTTTGTTTGAATTCAAACTGTTTTTAGAGACTAGGTGAATATTTGGGGGAGAAATGGGCAAGTAAATGGTCTTGAATACTGATTTAACGCAGTTTTCTTATAAAATAGATGCAGTTCTTAATGAAGCTGCTCAAATTCTGCGATTGCTGCATATAGAAGAGCTCAGAGAGCTACAGACAAAAATTAATGAAGCCATAGTAGCTGTTCAGGCAATTATTGCTGATCCAAAGACAGACCACAGACTGGGGAAAGTTGGAAGATGAACATTTTAGGATTTCAGCTTCTCACCTACTTAGTACAGTTGGGAACCATTTACGCTCTGGCATGTGTTTGGAAATCAAATGTCACATTTTCAAGGAAGAGTCCTAGAAAATTGTTCTCGAGATTTACCATCGCTTTTTCTTTAATAAAGTTCAGGAAAGTGGATTTTTTTTTGACTGTTATGTTTATGTATCTATAATGCCGACCCCCAGCTTTGTTACAGAGACAATACAGGTATTCAAATCATAGGAAAACAAAATATTTTATTGGAGTAATCTAGAAAATTTGAGAATTGTTACATCTTTGGTATTTATAAATGTAGTAACTTCTGTGGGTAACTATAGAGGGACTTACAGAATCAGAAGATACAAATTGAAACATTCTAGCACCTTTTAATATAAATAGAAATGCAGTGATGCAGAGGTAAAAACAAAAAACCAAACTTAGAACTTTTGCTGGAAAACTATAAATAAGTTGTTTTTCCCCACCAGCTGTGCATAGCCTTCTCCAGGTCAAGGCTTAGGGTCTGTCTTTATATGGATAACCTTGCTTTATTTCTTGGCCAGAAAATTAGATTTAGGGTTGTCACATATTCTAATTGGTTCTTAGTTGAATGAACTTGACCTTTTAAATATGATAGAAATGTTTATAAAAAATTGCTTTCATCAGCAGCAATTAAAATTGTTACTTTTTAAAATTTGGGGGAACTTGTTTTTCAGAATACAGTAGTAAAGATTGAGGTATAAACTTTTCACAAGTTTTATAGTCTTTTTGTCCTGAAAGTGTTCATCTTGTAAGTCCAATTCCTTTTTCACTTTCTTCACCTTTGTTTGCAGTAAGTGTTCTTTAGGGTCCGGATTCTGATTGTAAACTCCCAAGTCCTTTGTGATGCCATATTTACTTTCTTCCTGTGAGGAGAGGTGGAAGGAACAGGGGGTGAATATTTTATAACCAGTTGCAACAGCAAGTATGGTTAAGGGGAAATATCCTAATAGGCTGACCTTTTATGTGTATAGTTAAGCTAGGTAGACTAGACTTAGGGGTGAACAATCATTAGTACCCTATGTATTGGCCATTAACTTTTCCATTCAAAGTGGCTCTCACTGGCAGTGGCAGCTGTATTTGGGCCAGAGGTAATTGGTTACCAGATACATCCTTCTCTACCCTGGTCCAAAAGAGCAGCCTGAGCATTTTATTTACCTGTTGGGCAGTAGGGATAGACTGCAGTTATCCCGTAGAGATGAGATCGCTGCTCTGGGAGATACTCATCAGCAAACTGGCCGCTGTCTCTATTTACTGATATGACACCATCCCTGGTAACAGAAAGAAAGAGTAAATTTGTAGGATTTAAGGTGGGAAAGAAAAAAAGTCACTTTTCAGTAGAGAATCTCTGCTAGCTAGCCTTCTAGAATGTATTTTTTTAATTTAACCAAATGTGTTTTGACTCATTTAGATTCAAAGATTTTCTCTATCATCACTGGTTCTCAAAGTGGTCCCCAGACCAGCATCATGCGGGAACTTGCTAGAAATGCAAATTCTTGGGCCTCAGCTCAGACCTACTGAATCAGGAATTATGGGATGTGACCTGGCAATATGTTTTAACAATCCCTTGGAATGATTCTGATGCCACCCTAAAATTTTGAGAACCACTGGTGCAAATCAGTGCTTCTCAACCCTTGCTGAACAAATTACTTGAGGATCTAGTAAAATACTGATGCCTGGGCCTCCTGCCAGGCCAATTAAATCAAGACTGCAAGGGATGGGGTAGAAGGGCTTAGACATCTAGATATGTTTTTAATGTTCCTCCTTGGAGAACTAGTCTAAATTACAGTACTTTTCCTTCTCCCAGGTGGACAACTAATATGTCCATAATGTCATTTTTAAAAAAATCAATTTAAATCACACAGCTAATAGAGCTCATGGTACCACTAAAGTGTAGTCTTTTATTCTCTGAAGATCAGATTTAGATTAATGTACTTCCTTTTTTGGATAGTTTAGTATCAGTTCTGCCACTTTTGAGTAGCATGTGAGCAATACCATTAAGTATGATTTTAAAAGCAATAACACTTGAACAATGTTATCTACTAATTAAGACCTAATGAAAACTTCAGTGAAAAGCTTAATTACTAAAGTCATTAGTGACATTAGGTAAAAGGTCATAAACGGTGGTATGTCTTCCAGACTAGTTTGCCTTTTCAGGCTTGGCCAGGGTGTGTCAGGCTCACCTCCTCCAGTCTGTGTGGTAGAAGTGATCTGCATAACTGACAATACTGAAGGGGTAGTTGAGGTTGTTCTGAATGACGCGACGTCCAGTCCCATCAGGTAGGGTACACTCCAGTTTTTTGGTTCCTTTTAAAACACCAGAGAGGGAAAATGAGATCTTTCATACCATGAGAAAAGAAAACTTTGCCAAAAATTGTGGCAGGTAGAAGCCTTCTGAAAGGAAACAAAGGTAGAATAAGAAATAAGATGCTTTAATTATATACAGTGATACAAATTAGAAACTGAAATTTTCCTATTCTATTATCACTCTTCAGTTTGTTTAATAGCATTCTAGTTTTTAGAATTTAGACTCTTGATCCTTTCTTGGAAGACAGGATTGCATTTTTTTCTCCCAAAGTAGGACATTAGAGATGAACTTTGTTCTAATTAATTTCAAGAGTCACCTCGTAAATTGTAAACATAACATCTAGATAAATACTTGCCCTTCATAAGCAATGTATAATGCTTTTTAACTAAAATCCTTAAATATTTTTTAAAGACCTGTTATTTCCTAGATAGGAATTAAAAGTAGCTAAAATGGTAACATGGCTCATGTTTTTCAGTGTAAAAGAAGCAGTCTTCAAAATTTTGCAATACCTAAACAAGTTTCTTATGGAACCTGGCTTTAAATTTCAAATAGTTTTTAAAAATGTAACTTTTAAAAAGGTAACTAACTTGTTTTGGACCAACTGGATTATAATATTGACTCATCTGCATTTTAGTCCTTTTTATTAGATTATAAATTCTTTAAGAATGGACCTTTTTGTACTCTTTAGTATGTAAGTAGACACATATAGCATCTTTTCAAATTGTTCTAATAAGGAAATCACACTACAGAAAGAGGGAACTTGCGTATTGGCAACCCGAACTTACTACTTGCCACATCACTTTCCAAACATACTAGCCTACTGACTGGTAAAGCAACAGATATTTAAAAATGTCCTAATACTGGCAAAAAAAAAAAACAAAAAACCTTTTGTTCACTTACTAAGTTTGTCAGTTCCAACAGTAAGTAAAATTTCTTTTTACTTTAAGAAGTATACCAAGTGCTTGTGTGGGAGAAGGGCAAGCATTATAAAAATGAGTTGGACATAGTACTAGCCCTCAAATTACCACCTAATTCACAGACCACTGCCCCCCCCCCAAAACCCCAGGAAGGATTATAAGTATCAATACAAAGTGTTCTTTAACAGTTTATACACCTACTAAAAGGAATAAGTTCTGTGCTATACTGTTAAAAATTTAAGCCAAAAGCTCTACATGATGGGATCTGGTTTTGTTGTAAACTCTGAGGTGGAGAGCGGCCCCCAGGGTAATGAAGTGCTGCTGTGTGTTCGCCGCCATCAGTAATACCTGCGTCTGCCCAGCAGAGCAGTTTGGAGAAGGGATCAAAGGTTAAACCATTAGGCAGTCCAATGTCTTTATTCACCAGAATTCTTCTGTTTTCTCCTTCTAAAGAAGATGTTTCAATTTTGGGAGCTTCTCGATTCCAGTCCGTCCAGTACAAGTTGCTGTGGGATAAATTAAATATAGTGAAAATGCAGTCCAAGAAATAAGTGTCGGTTTCAGAGTTTTGGTTGCTTTCACCATTTAATGAAGATAAACCTAGGATTTCCTAATGCACTGCTGAAGGAGACCCGCCTCATTCCAGGTTAAGTGTTAGGCAGCCTGGCCTGATCATCTGATCCACATCAGTCCCCAGTCCCTCTCACATAGTCTCTGAATTCTCTATGTATTGTACCACAGTCTTAATAATTTTCTAGTTTATTCATTAGTTTACTACCTTACTTCCTCCTAGAATGTTCTCAGCATACCAGCCTACTGACTGGTAAAGCAACAGATATTTAAAAATGTCCTAATACTGGCAAAAAAAAGAAAACCTTTTGTTCACTTACTAAGTTTGTCAGTTTCAACAGTAGGTAAAATTTCTTTTTACTTTAAAAAGTATACCGAGTGCTTGTGTGGGGAAGGGCAAGCAGTCATGAAAGAATGGACCTTGTCTTTGCCTAGAACAGTGTCTACACCCAGTAGATCCTCTATACTGTTAAATTCACACATTGGCGCTTTTACGCTCTTGTTCTGACCCTCCCCACGTGGCATTTAAAATCCAAGGGCTTCAAATTAAGATCTGCAGGAGGCAGGGGAATCAGGAAGCCCAGCTGACCCTTGGATCGGATCCACAGCAATGGCCCGAGGATTCACCAGGTCCGTGTGGAAGAGGGCTTGGCGCTCAGAGCCGTCCAGCCTGGCCCTCTCTATCTTGTCCAGGCCACTGTCTGTCCAGTACATTGTTCGACGGAAGTGGTCGATGGCAAGTCCTTCGGGGCTTATCAGACCTGGAAATAGAACAGTGGCAGGACTGGAGCATTTGCAGTATGAAAAGGGAACTTGAAGTGGAGAGATATTCTAGGTTTGAAAAGTTTAAAAATGAAAGTCCTGAGAGGCTCTCAGTTGCAAGGAGCAGGTTAACAGAGGAACTTGTTCTGCCAGCTCTGGTTCTCCTCTAGACAAACACACCGTCTGGCCTGATGGCACCAGGCATATTCACAGTGCGGGGCCAGGCAGCGTCAGCTGTGGCCACCCTGAGTTCTCTTGGGAGCCCTGTTTCTCAGTAAGAATCACCTCGTTTCTTACCTATGAATGTGTATTTACAGAGGGGCTGGTATGGTACCGGTACCACTCAGTGAAGTGACTCGTATGGCACTTGACCTCCCCTTTTGCACTTAGTAGAGTCAGATGAAATACAAAGGGGTCTTCTGGAGGAAGTCTCTGACCTGAGTTGATGATCGTCTCAGGCTCTGCTCCTGGTTCCAGACTGGCACGGCTGATTGTCCGTCCAGCAACATCTGTCCAGTACACCATCCTCTCGCGGCAGTCATAGTCAATTCCCACAACTATGGAGCCCTTTGTGGAACAAAACATGAAATTGGAAGAATTAGGACTCCTTGCGTTTCCCTGGAGCTCGCGCTCAGCCGCCCCTTGCATGGCCGTAGTGAACACCCCGTAACGTAGTCTCAGGGGCAGCTAAGCAGCGTGGTTACACAAGTGGGCCTGGAGGCGGACTTCTGGGGGCCCGGCCAGGCTTAGCCGCTGACTAGCCGTGCAACTTAACCTCTCTATGCCTGGGTTTGCTCATTCACAAAATGAAGATAACAGTATGTACTTTATAGTGCTGCTTTAAAAATTAACACCATAAATTCTTCCACAGTGTCCTAATCAGTCATTAGTCTACAGCAAGTGCCTAATCACTAATGCCAGCACTAGTAAAATGATCTCATGGAAAACCAGCCCCTTTAATGATTAAAGGACAAACATTATTAGCAAAGTAAGTTCTTAATATTTTACTGGGCAAAAAAATATGTTATTCCTTCCAAATGGTATCTGCACTTTTGAAACAGCCTTTCTAAAATTCACCAACATATAATGACAAAATCTATTCCCCTCCCCCTGTGAATATAGTCTTTCCCCCGAGGTGTCATCCCTCACCCCATCTCTCTCCCTACTACAAAGTAAACTTTTTGGTTGTACGTGTAAGTAAAAGTCTCCAGTTGGATGGGTTAAGGAACTGGAGACTGGTGGTCACCAAACCCCTGGCTAGGAAGGTCTTCCCTTCTTCATTGCTAAATAAAATAAGTCTTTTTTTTTTTTTAATGCTGAGTCTGTGATATTTCTTTGCAAAACTCTGCACAGTACTTGCTTCATTCAATTTCCAACTCAGACTCCTGGTCTGAGAAACTGAACAGATGTGCAAAGCCGACATCTAGGGGCCATCTGGCTGTCCCTGAGATCACACCAGTTCCTGGCTTGCCTAACAGCCTTCTGGGGCTGGCTTGACATGCCTCTGGGAGCAGAGGCAATATAAAAAACACTGAACAAAGCCGGATTTGGCTCCTGTGAAAAAGTGGGCAGTATATATGGAAGGATCTGAAGGTCAAAGTATAGTTTCACTTGAAAAGTAAAAGTCCTCTGTCTCACGCAGGAATGCACATCCATGTCCGTTTCCATTGACCTAGGGAATCATGCGATCTGTTAACCCATGTATTGACTTCAGAGTTTCTTGGAAGAATAAATCATTTTAAGTAAATTTCCCCAAGATGTGCTTAGAACCCATGTTCCATTAGTCCCACTAGCAGCACCGCCACCTTGCCCTAGGAGAGGCAAGTTCAGAAATGCGGTACAGCCATCAGACTTGGCTGGGTGGTTAGACTGAGGTGTTGACAATTTCTTAGTTTCTACATCTTTTAGAGAAACTTGCACAACAGCTTGCTAGTGTTTGCCAACACGACTACAAAACCTAAATCTTAAGAAAAAACATCTTCCTCTGAATACTGGCTGCTTCTACACTTTCTTTGGAATCTGGTAAGGCATTAGTTCGTTAACAAAAGTAAAGGCAAACACGGACACTGTACTGTTCTTTATCCTAGATGAGCAAGTACCTGCTGCATGAGGTTTAGAAATGGAATCAGATGGCTTTCCTTTATAAGTGGCAGTGCCTTTCTGGTGAACTCCCTTCTCTTTTCTCCATTTTAGAGAAGAAATCCCTCCCCCAAAATGGAGTGCCTTGACAGTAGGGATGCTGCTGGCGCAGGAAGCAACAGGCATGTAGGGAAAGCTTGTCAACTCCTTTCCCAGCATTCTCCCTCCACCCAGATCTTCTGTGAAGGAGTGAGAGAAGACTGATCCACAGAACCGGAATGGGAGGGGAGGGGGCTGCAACAATGAGGCAGTCATTAATTTATTTCCACTTGGGATTCTTAACTGACCACAGAAACCACTCCCTTTCGCTGGTCCTCCTGGACCTTCTGGAGAGTCTGGCATGGAGAGGACCCTGGAGACGGGTTAAGGTTCTGTCACTTTTGCCTTGGATCACCATACTGCCTCAATATCCTGACAGATCTGAAACTCCCTTTCCATTTATCCAAAACCCCATGAACCACTGGAGACAGCCTGGGTCAGTCAGATAGAACTCCCGGCAGCAGTGCCCCCACTTCCTGTGAGAGCAGTGTCAGACTCAGGAAGTCGGAGTCCAGCCCAGAAACCCTCCAGGACCTCCCTCTACCTCCAGCCCTTGCCCAGATCTGAAAGCCCTGTGCAGCCCCGCCCCCATGCCAGAAATCCACTTTACATGCAGTGACAGCAGGGTCTTGGCCATGTCCTTCTGAAGCCTGGTTCCGTTGAGGGGCAAGTGACCGATCTGCTGGCCCTGGGCATAGAGCAGGAAGGTGCCCACGGACGGAGGGGTCACGTCAGGCCGTGGCACAGGCCGGACTGTGGGCGGAGCAACCGTGGGGATACCTGCCATGGGAAGGTACGAAGAACAGAGGAAAGGCAACAAGGGTAGGTGGGGAGAGGGGAAGAAGTTACTTTCCACACAGAACCTCCAAAAACATCAAAAGGTTTTTACCCTAGACAGATGTGTTCCAGATGTTCCTTAAAGGAAATTCTAATTTCTAGGGTTTTTTTCTTCCCAAGGATTATGTAAAACACTGCCAATTACTAGGGAGGAAGACAACAAAACATTTCCCCTCAGAACAAAGCAAAAGATTTTTTCTTTTTAAGGGAAAGAAACTAGCCAGTATTGTGTCCGCTCTTCTTTGGGCCCCCAGGGTGACACGTGTCTCCTTTCACCCTGGGCTGGGGAGGAGGGGTAACTGCACATTGAGCTGAGTTCCAGATGTTCTAATTACAGAAACTGCTAATGACAAGACCAAACATGAAATCCAAATTGGGATCTCGAGTAGACCAGATTACAAATCAACATGGCGTATTAGTGACTTCTTTCACTGGCCTTGGGGACCCCCTGTTTCCCCACCTTCACCCAGAGCTGGCAGTTGCCCTCCAGCAAACCCTCCGAGCAGATGCGGTGAATGGGGGCAGTCCCTGGGTGCTTACAGGCAGGGGTGGTGCCTGGCTGCGAGCGGGTGCCCTGCACTTCTCTGCCATCTTTGTCCACGCACCAGCAGAAGTCACTCGTCCCGTGGCACTGCAGGGGGATGAAGTGGCCCAGGTCATCACACTGGGGCACATACTGGTCGTCCCTGGGCGTGCCACCGTAGTGCTCCAGCAGGTTTTCCCTCCAGCGCTCACAGACGGTCCGGGGCCTCTGGGTGGGCTCTGAGCAGATGGGGACAAAAAGCTTTTGATGGTGAGCCAAGGACAGAACATAGCATGTAGCTGAAGTTCCCCACACCTGGCCTCCCTCCTGCTCGTGTCTGCCAGCAAGGCCTCGGCCAGGCCCCCAGACACTGAACCAAAGCAGTAAAGTGCTCTATGAAGCTCTCCACAGGAATCCAAAGAAAGTAAGTCTCCTGGGCCAAGAGGATTTGTCATCAAGGCCCAGCCACATCGGTAGCAAGAGGAGGTCAGATCAGGGGTGCAAGGCATGCTCAGGCCAGGAGAGGCCCACAGGGACCACTCCGCCTGGGCCCAGAGCCTCTGCTAACAGAGCACTTGGCGGGGACCCTCATCGGGAACTCAGTGGCCTACATGATAATTAAAGGTAATATTTATTCTTTCCCACTTGGTTCAAGCTCCAGGACCTACACCCCAAGGGCAATCCTGAGACTGGCCATGTGTTTTAGAAATTCCCTGAGTGCTCTATTTATGTGGCCCTCAATGTCTGCTCACTGGAAAACTATATGGAGTTAAGACTTGCTGTAATTAGCATCTGTGAGCACAGCAGAGGTGGCGGCCAACAACTCCATACTGACCGTTAGACACTCCAGTGCCTGGAAGCCCTTTGGCTCAGAGCTGAACCTTTATTTCGGCAGACTCCAGCTTCCCGCCATGTAGCTCTGCCCCCTCCCTTCTCCAGCATCCTCCCCTCTCTGCTCCCCCTCCCAGCTCCCCACCAGGCTCAACCTCCTGCGTGCTCTTGCAGAGTGGTTTCTCTAGCTGTTTTCTCCCAGCCTTGCTTCGAAAGGGCTGTCACTCTGTCGTAAACATAGTGGTTCTTGGTCTGCAGGGACTCTGCTGCAGGATGTTTAAATAACTCGTCCACTCATCTAGCATAGGCTTATCTAAAGGAACTCAAGTAGAAGGTGCTTCTTTTTTAATTCCTGCAACTGAAAGCCTGTGGTCTGTAGAATCATACAGCCAAGTACCTACTTGATGCCACCACCTGGATGTTTAACATCCATCTCAGAACAAAAACGGGGCCCCTCCTTTCCACCATCAAAGCTGCTCTGCCCTAGACTTTTCCCTATCAGTAAACAGCACCTCCATTTTCCATTGTTCGGGCCTAATCATCCTCGATTCCTTTCTCTCACTTTCCACATCGGATAGGTCAGAAAATGTCAGCCGTCCCTTCAGAACACATTCAGAAAATCTTCACTTCTCACCTCATCCACCCCTATCAGCCTGGTCCAAGCCCCACGGTCTCCTGCTAGGATTATTACCAAAGTTTTCTTACTCGTTCCGTGGCTTCCCCTCCCTTTCCTGCCCCCCAGTGTAAACTACCAGCAGCCAGGAAGAGTCCCTTTAAAACAATCATTTCATGGCACTCCTTTGGTCAAAACCTCCAATGGCTTCAAAGAACAAAGTTGGAAACATTACACTTTGGTTCTAGTACCAAAGGGTACCTCTAGGAAAGCGGGAGGGTGGTAAATAAAATCCTCAGAGCTCAAACCCAACTAGCTCAACTACAAGACTCATCGGGTTTGGGGGAAGTGGATGCTTTTCAGGTCATCTCTATAGCTCATGACCCTTGGAAAGCCAAGCTCTTTTTAAGACCTCATGGAGAAGGAGTCTCGCACTTCCTTCCCCAGATGTGTCTCAAAGACCCCAGACGGGGAAATGTCGCTTCCTCAAACCACTAGCCATCCATCTCAAGGTGGGATTCCCTGCAGAAGCTCCCAACACTACCCCAGGCCCACACTGCAAACTCGGAGGGTACGTTCTTGGTTCAGAGGACCACCCAATAAGGCAAAGCTCTTTGTCTGGAATGCAGACACACAGCACACCCAGCTTCTGGGAAATGGGCACCTCACATCACTGATATGTGTGCCTCCCTCTCGTTCCTTACTATGTGGAGCTCCTTCTTAATTCAACCACAGATTTTGCTCTTTTCTGTTTTTGGTTGGCAGGGTTTTTAACTATTTTGAAATCTTGGACACAGAGTGTTTTCCCTCCCTTCAAGCCAACCCCATTAATGCAGAGACTAGTCAGAAATGGCAGCCAAGGCCCATCCAGCACCAAGAGAGAAGTCTGGGCCATGGAGAAAGAGTCTGCACAAGAGAACATGTCCCTCCTTTGGTCGTTAACTTCTCATTCTCTTGGCTTCCTTCTGAATCACTGTCCTTAACACAGGCTTGTCTTAGTAAGTGTAACAGAACTCTGAACCATTCCCTAAGGCGTGTCCCAACCATCTGATTTCTTTAAATCCCAGATGGAGTTAGAACCGAGACTTTTTAAAGAGTAGACAGGAGTGAAACAGGATTTTTCTGGGTGGGTTTTTTTTTTTTTTTTTTGGACTTACAAAATCTTTTCCTAAAAATAGGGACAGAGAGGAACTAGCAGTGTCACTGTGGAAACAAGGACATACATCGGAATCAAGCATTACCAATTTTTACCCCTGTGCATCTTAGAAGCACTAATGTGCTGGCCATAACGATATTATTGAAGGGATCAAAACTGGTGGTAACTCTCCAGCTCTTCTTACTCTTATATGTGCAAAGCCAAAATTAGTATTTATCTTTGTCAGTAGTAAAAATGGACCTCTGAATAGCAAGCTTATGGTTTAGGAATTATTTTGTCTAAAATGGTATCAAATCAGTCCTATGTTCTTCATAATAAAGTTCTGCCCACTCTGAACAACTCAGCAAGGAACACAAGTCTGCCCTGGCATGAAATGTGAGCACTTGACCGCCAGGTCCCACCCAGACAGGGAGTGCTCAGAGAGTAACAGACGAGTTCACTGTCAGCATCTCTGGCCGCACGGGCTAACACAACAGGTTCCTGCACCTCTTCTGACGGTGGCCGGGGCAGGCAAGGGGTTCCCCATCCACATGCCAGGCCTGGCTGGAGACAGCTGGGGCGATCGGCTTAGAGCAAACCAGCTAGACCCACCCCCAGGTGTCCTACCTATTCTTCCCATCAATACTAAAATGGCCCTCATACTGTTCGCTGCAAGTCGGAAGGCGGAGCAAAGGGATAGGAATATGGGCAGGCAGTTTTCCTTTTGGACGAAAGGCCGGTCTGGCAAGATCATCTCGCTCCAAGATCTCCCGAAGCTGCTGTAACAGATGCAGGGCAGTGGCCTCAGCCTGACCTACACACTCAGTCTCCACTTCAGGCTTGTCCTGGACAAGCGTGAGGCCACAGTCCAGCGTGCGGCAGTGATCACACATGTACCTCCGTCCGTCCCTGTCACGGCAACGTGCACACAGGTGTGCACAGACCATTCCAGTGTTCCGAGGAGGAAGGAGCCGATGACAGGGAGGAGATCGGCCCAGGGTGTGCTTGGTCTGGGCAGGGGTGATCATCTGCCCCCCAGTCAGCACTGTTCTGCTTCTCGAACCCCAGGCTGAGGCTGGAAGCGGTTCTCTTCCCTGACTGGCTCACCTGGTGGTCCGCAGCGCGGCGGCATGGAGCCGGGGGGAGTCCGTGTGCCGGGGACTTCGCGGCCGTCGGGGTCCACACACCAGCAGAAGCCGGTCATGCCATGACACTGCAGTGGCAGGAAGCGACCCTGCTCATCGCACTGAGGAATGTGCAGCCGACTGCCGGTAGAGGCGTGCTGAGCCTGCGCGTGGTGCTGCTGCTGTTCACAGGGTTTCAGCCCTGAGGAGGGGTCTTCCGAGGCCGGGGTAAAGGAGATGTACAAAGGAGGAATAAAAGACACGGCAACCCATCCACTTTTACCAGCTAACTTCAAAGCTCTTATCCAAGGGGTTTTTTGTTTTTCCCCCCGTATACTTGGACGATAGCATTGCATGGGGAAAAATAGCAAGGTACTGAGATTTTGAACTCCCGGATTCTTTTAGTTCTGTCACTATCTCCCTAATTCTCACAGTTCACCCTGTCCTGAGCTGACTCCCCACTGCTGTCTGGGTAAAGTGAAGAACCACCCATGGCTTCTGTCCAAACATCCCAAGGGACTTGGGAGAAAATAAGTAAAACTCTGTTCAGCCCCTGAAGTCCATAATTTAAGTCTTGAGAAGCTCTGAGTCAACGGCAATCACTAGATTGCACTGTGCTGGCCAAGACCTCCTAGAACAGTCATGGGGGCTGACTACCAACTCACTAGTGCATACGGCTCCTGTTTAGTAAGCTTGATCTCAGTACTTTATCTCAATCACACTTACTGAGGCAAAGCCCATCACGAAGGGAGCTGACCACAACTGGTGGGACGCTAGGTAGGACAACAGATGGGTCATACTCCTGGCCTCCCAGAACGCTAATAACCAGTGAGCTCTCAGGAAACTAGGCAGCTAGAGGGAACAGGAGAAGCCCTGGTCTGCAATAGGAGCGGACTGAAGGCCATAGAAAAATCGCACTGAAGGAGTCAGGGTTTTCTGTGCCTTGTCTGGCTCTCCAAACCTTACCTGGTGTGCACTGAAGTCCATCCCCATGGTAGCCAGGGTGGCATTGGCAGGAGAAAGAACCAGGGGTATTGTAGCAGGTAGCCGAGGGGTGACATCTGTTTTCCGAGCATTCATCGACATCTGCGGAGGCAGGAACAGGGATGAGGGGGTGGGGGAGGGAGGGAGGAAGGAATGGCGTGAATTCACTGCACACAACTGGGGCTACTACACGGCCTTAGTACACGTGGGTCAATGGCAAGGGGTCAACCTCAGAAGACTTCTGGGCATGAGCAGGAATATGACGACAGCTAAAGGCAAGCTTAATGTGCAAAGTTGAGGGTGATGGGAGTTAAGAATGTGCAGTGTGGTTACTTCCAGAAAAAAAATATCCTGCAGTGTATTTCTAGAGCATCTTTCATCCACAGTGAATTCCAGGAAGTCATCACCTTTGAACTAGCCTTTAGACTGTAAATCATTCACTTCCTTTCCGTCCTGCAGCAGTGAATGTGTGTAACAATGGCTTTGTTCTTTCCCTGCTGGCTCGGCTGTCCCTCTAGCATGGAGATGCAGAAGCAAAGCAGCCAGAAGAGGCTCCCAGGGCTTTTTCAACTAAGGTAGAAGCACGTTTAGTCTCATGCAATCAGAGTCCTACTATCTACAATGCCCAATCAATCAGAAATTTTCTCTACTTTCTACCTTTAGAAGAAATAGAAAGGTGTAAGAAAAATATCAGTAGTTTTGAAACAACACATAAAAAAATCTAAATTTGTTAGGCTTATCAGTGTCAACAATTCAGCACCCCCCCTCCACACAATACCAGAAGATTTTCATAATTCTGAAAACTGCAACATCCTGGAACTTCAAATGCCAGTTTATAGTCCTTTTATTTACTGCAATCAGAATGTGCTGACATTAGCAAGGCTCTCCTCCCTCTTCCCACAAAAAACCTCTGAGGGTCAAACTATTAAAACCAATGGCCAGGGGTGCCTGGTGGAGCATATGACTCTTGATCTCGGAACTGTGAGTTCGAGCCCCACGCTGGGTGTAGAGATTACTTCAAAATTTAAAAAAGAGTTCTTAAAAAAAATACATAAAACAAAAGCAATGGCCAATGATTAAGCAATCTGCAAAGACAGGAAGTCTTCCAGAGTAAAAGGAAGATAAAGGGTGTAGGTCTGATCAAGTCTCAACTGAAAATAAAAGAAAGCAGTCGCTTCCACAAAGATACTCCAAAAATGATTTAAAAATGTGTGAATAGGAAAAAATGTGGGTTGGGATGATCAGTGTGAAACCTAGAAGTCCCAGAAGTGAATTGCATCCATTTGCTACAGCCCGCGGCAGACACATAGAACCCAGGATGCCGGAGAGTGACAGCCTGAATGTGACGTGAATCGGTTGGGGACAGAGGTAGCTCCTCGCCCAGCCTCCCATGCACCTGATGAAACCTGCTCTAGGGCTGTCGGTACCAGCCTTGTTACGACCACGCTCTCACCGAGCCCCCTTCCCATGGCTCAGCTCCTCTCCCAGGTACTGGTGAGCAGACATGCTGGATGTGAAACCCAGATGTCTGTTCACAGGAGAGGAATCTCTGACACTGTAATTAGCAAATTCACATTCTGTGTGTCCTCAGTCTTGGGGAAGTTTGGTCAAAATAAATGAGCTCCCTTAAGTCCAAAAGAATCCTGAATGCTTGACACAACCAAGTTCAATGCCACCCAGAGAGGCTCTGCCCAGATGAGCAGCTGGCCTCCCCAGTTACCTTCCTGTCCACCTACAAAGGTGGGAAAGTAGTTATACATTCATCTGCAAAGTCAGAAACAAACCAGGTTTTCTGGTTAGCTTCTCAGTTAACCAAAAGAAACCAAACAAAACCAAGCCCAACAAAAACCCTATCGCTGATCTAATCAATATGGGTTCTCTATTGTCTTATTTAATTATCCCTGAGTTTGGCTTTCTGTCTCTTCAGAGGGACAACCCCAGTACCTAGCTGGGTGAAGCCGGTGGCGATCCAGCTCCCTGGGCCTGCAAAACGCTGTGAAACCAAAACTGTAAAAATGAACATCCAGCAGGAAAGTCAATGCAGGAAGTTAAAGCTATTCATAATACATATGCTAAAAGGACTTCTCATGCTAACAGGAACCCCAGGCAATGACAGGAAGCAGGAATTCCTGAGACACGGGGCCTAATTCTAGAACCCAGGGGTCAGTTTCTCGAGATTATTTTTGAACTCAGAGAGAGGGGACGCCCCAGAGCTACCAAGTTAACTCATGTTCGGAAAGCCTATGGCCTAGGAATTCTGATCAGAGTTAAAGAGCAGGTATCCTCCCCACAGATACGAGAGTTACAGGGGCGGGGGTTAGTAATGGGTATAAATGACCAACTGGGAGATGGAAAGCATTACAAGTGAGGAGCCCCCATCCCCCAAAGGCTGGAGGAGGTTAAGTCTCCCCGAAGCACAGTCCTTGATGCCTCCTTGAAAGACAGACCTCCCACCATGACAAAAAACAAGCCTGTCAGCCACTCCAGGGCCTGAGCTCAGAGCAGGCTATGACTCCTCCTCAGGAGTGCTAACACTGGGGGGGTTTGGTGGGAACTGGAGCTTTTGAGTAAAGAAGGGGAGCTCCTCCCTATGTCACAGGATGTCAAGTGTCAGGGCAGAAAGCATAAAGACTTTCAGCCCCTTGGCAAGGGAGAAACTCCTTGTTGTACCACTGGGGGAGGGGGCTGCCATTGATGCTTATCAATGTCAGGGGTCTTTAGGAGCTGTCAGGACACTGAGGTCAAGACAACAAAGTTCAAGGCATAGTAGAGCTCCTTTGCTATTCAGATGATGAAACATGGCTCCATCTCAGCATAATTCTCCATTCTATTACCCATTAAACTGGTAAAAAAAAAAAAAAAAAAAAACCTGTATGGAAAATGTGTTAAAATCCTCCATTTCGATTTCATACTTTGGTGTTTCAGCACTCTTCCCACTGCCCTTCTGCCCACACCCGAAACCAGGTGAAGTCCCTTTGAAACAAACCCAATCACCGGATCACCAGATTCTAGCTCCCCCCAACCCATCCCACCCCACCCCCTTTGCTTCCAAACCATCCAGTGGAATTTCCAGACCCCAGTAAAGGCTTCCACCCACAAGTTCTCATTCCCCACCTATTGAATCCAGCACCTGACTGGTTGTGCCCCTGTGTGGTATGCGGTGACCCTCTCTCTGGGACCCATGAGTGTCAGAGACTCCTTCCTTTCAAGCCCTGCTCTCTTTTCCTGCGGCTGCACCGACTTTACCATACCTCACCTAACCTCTTCATTCTTAGAACAGGAGACCTGAGAAAGACCACTCCACGTACCTCTTCTCATGTCCCCCCTGAGCAGTCAGGGCTCTGAGTGACATCCCACCTGTTCAACTCACACTTGCTCCTCCCTGGAAAGATCCTAACTCAAGACAATCTGCTTTTGCACCTAGCAAAGTCACCAAGATCTAGGAGGACCAACAGGCCTGAGAACCATTGAAATCGGGGTTGATTGAGGGAAGCTGGAAAAGATTTAACTCTACTCGGGTAAAAGTAATTCCTGCTGGTGACTCAGACTAGACTAAAAGCCCAAAGCCAAGTCCAGTCTCTCCAGGGAACTCAGTTTTTTTTTTAATTTTTTATTATGTTAATCACCATACATTACAGCATTAGTTTTTGATGTAGTGTTCCATGATTCATTGTTTGTGCATAATACCCAGTGCTCCATGCAGAATGTGCCCTCTTTAATACCCATCACCAGGCTAACCCATCCCCTCACCCTCCTCCCCTCTAGAACCCTTTGTTTTTCAGAGTCCATCGTCTCTCGTGGTTCGTCTCCCCCTCCGACTTACTCCCCTTCATTCTTCCCCTCCTATCTTCTTTTCTTTTTTCCTAACATATGTTGCATTATTTGTTTCAGAAGTACTGATCTGTGATTCAACAGTCTTGCACAATTCACAGCCCTCACCATAGCACATACCGTAATGTCTATCACCCAGCCACCCCATCCCTCGCACCCCCACCACTCCAGCAACACTGTTTGTTTCCTGAGATTAAGAATTCCTCATATCAGTGAGGTCATATGATACATGTCTTTCTCTGATTGATTCATTTCACTCAGCATAACACCCTCCAGTTCCATCCGTGTCGTTGCAAATGGCAAGATCTCATTCCTTTTGATGGCTGCATAATATTCCATTGTATATATATACCACATCTTCTTTATCCATTCATCTGTCGATGGACATCTTGGCTCTTTCCACAGTTTGGCTATTGGGGACATTGCTGCTATAAACATTGGGGTGCATGTACCCCTTCGGATCAGGGAACTCAGTTTTTGACAAACTGGCTAGAGCAAACCCCCACACCCTTTTATTGCTACTTTAATGGAGGAAAGAAAAATACGTGTGCTTCAAGAATGCATGCTTCCCACAAAATAGAGCCTTTATCTCTATTTTTCTCGATTTTGCTCTTTTCTCTCTCTCTCTCTGTGGTCAGAGACACATGCACACTGTGGCATGCCTTTAAATATGTGCATACACACACACACACACTTACATACTTACCCTGCAAGTCGCCTTCATGATTAGCCCAGACCGATTTAGGCATGGCATAGGTCTTTAGGAAAATGACTATTCATTTTCTACTCTTCCAGTCTGAAAAGCTTAAATGGCAACTGATTTTGGGAGGCAGCCTCTAAGGAACCCCAAAGATTCCTCCCTCCTACTATTTGTAACCTTGTGTAATCTCCTTCCCTTGAGTAACTTGCATCTAACTTCCACTTTGCTCGCAGACTTTCTGCTACTGGCTTTGAGGAAGTAAGCTACCTTGTTCAAGGTCTATGTGTCAAGAAGCTGAAGGTTACCTCCTGGCAACAGCTAGCAAGGACCCGAGGCTCTCTGTCTTCAAGGAACTGAATCCTGCCAGTAACCATGTGAGGATCTTTCTCCAGTTAGGCCTTTAGATGAGATCCCAAGTCTACCACACTCCTTGTAGGATCCTTTAAAGCAGAGGACCAAACTAAGCCATTCTCAGGCCCTTGACCTGTACACAATAAATGTGTATTGTTTTAGGCTGCCATATTTGGGGGTAATTTGTTATGCAGCAATAGATAACTAATACACTAGGGAGGCAACTGATGGGTTTGGCATGTTTTTAAGTTTGTGGGTTCCAGAGAAAATCCCAAAAGTAGAGAAGCAGAGATTGAAGAGGGACAATTAAAAATGGCAGAAATCAGCAAGAAGGCAGTAATAACAATGAATGGCATTATTCCAAAGTCCTCAACATGGAAAAATGGCCAATTTCAGGGTCCTAATATGACCCCAAAGGTAATCAAAGTCTTACAGGACAAGTAGAAGTTAAAAGAAGGAAAAGAGAATGATTCAGAAGGGATTAGGGCAAGAAACATCTAACTCAATTAACATTGATTATTAACACTCATCACATCTAGGCTGCAACTAATTTCAACTTGTTAGCTTTAAACCAAAGACCTGAGGAGTTAAATACCTTGAAAGCACTATCTCTGCTGTCCCGAGCAGCCAGATGTTTAAATATGAACTTCTGACAAGATTTTGATTCTCCATGTAGTTTCATTTCTTAGAGCCAGTAGTGTGTTAAATGAAACTGAATGACAGGGGCACCTGGGTGGCTCAGTTGGTTAAGCACCTGCCTTCGGCCCAGGTCATGATCCCAGGGTCCTGGGATCGAGCCCCGCCTTGGGCTCCCTGCTCCGTGGGAAGTCTGCTTCTCCCTCTCCCTCTGCCCCCCACCCATGCACACCCATCATGCACACACTCCTTCTCTCAAAATCTTAAAGAAAGAAAAAAAACTGAATGACAAAGTTCCATGAGAGTGGAAAAAATATTCTTCCCACTGTGAGAAATAACAGAACAATGAGGAGTTAGGGCACCTCACACTGACCCGCACACCTGTGGAGGCTACCCTCTCTCTGGAGAGTCCTGTAACAGATGGAGCTCTTGGGCCGGTCAAGTGAGAGAAGCATCTGTGAATTCCAAATCTACCTCGGTCTAACTGGAGAAACACGTGAGCTCTAGGGTGTTTTTAGGAGGGGAAAAAAAAAAAAAAGAAAACAGGGCTGAATTGAGCCACCGCTTTGGGTCATTTCAGTATAAACTGTGTTTTTAAGAAAACCCTACAGCAGAGCTTCTGTACAACAGACGTGGAAACATTAAAGAGACAGTTCAGACAATACCAAATGGCCCGTCACATCTGGGAAGGAGAGGACGGCTGGCTGCCCGGACACATTTGTTCTGTCCATAACATATGGCTTCCGTCTGCTGGTTCACAGACAGCCTCTCCAAGAAAACCGAAGGGAGGCGACGTGGGAGGAGGATGAGAAGCCAACATCTGGTAAAGGAGGGCGGGGCGTGCTATTTAAGCTGCTGTAAAGCTCCCAGGAGTTACACAGCTGTTCTAGCAAATCAACTCAGGGTGCCCAGGTGTAGGGTGGCCTGGCCAATGCAAGCAGCAATTTGAAGAGAAGCGGGGAAAGCCTGTGTTTCGGGTTCATAATCTCCAAACAGACCCTCTCCCCACCATTCTCTCCCAGTGTCTCATTTTCCCATAATTTGGGGGTATTACTGACAGCATGAAATTGAGTTTCAATTCCATCATGTCACTGGATACATTTTGAAAACCTTTAGTGGATAATGCAGATTTGCTAAATAATCTCTGTATTAAAGTACTACTAATCCCGGTTTCATGAACATATATACCCAGAGAATTTTACCTACTGTAGTAACAACGTCTCGCATCACTATTACTATTTAACCAGGTTAAATTTTAACAGTCCGCATTCCAGTTTAGTGATTTTATTAAATACTGTATCAAGCCTTAACCATCATAAACGTCTTTAGATTTCCGGGAAAAAAGCTGTGAGTGCTTAGGTATGCGTTACTATTCTTTCAGAACGGTAGAGTTCTTTCTCTCTCTCCCCCAAGAGGAGGAAGGGAAAAAATTAGAGAGAAAGCATTGCATGTATGTTTACAGATTGCTTCAAATGCCACTTCGACCAGCGGGATAGCAACTAAAAGTCAGGCATGACTGGAAGTGCCAGATTAAGCCATTAACCAAAGACATTGAAGGATGGAGACCTCCCAACAGGTGAGTGGGCTTTCCCAAAGTTCCTCCAGCCTATACTAGCTCCCAGGAACAGGAGGTTACAAGCTGGCAGTGGCTTCCTAGTGCTCCAGGAACGTCTCCACCAAGGACAACCATATATGCTCAACAGTCTAGTCCAAGGGAAATCACCCTTGGCTCTGCTTTTTGACTCAAAGGACAGCTTTTCTCTTGCTCTTTAGACAAGTCCAAGGCTGCGTGAGTCAAGCAAGGGAGAAGTCCTTTTGAGAAAGGTTCTGCCTATGTGAGGGTGTTGCATCCAAGGCGACTTTCCAGAGTCACTGAGGCTAACAACACACAGGTACTCACCAGTACACTGGGACCCATTGCCCATGTAACCAGGCAGGCAGGCGCAGCTGAATGTGCTGCCTCCGTGGTAAATGCACCGGGCCTGGCCAGCAGGAGCACAGGAATGACTGCCATCCTCACAGGGGTTGGGAGGTGGGGTGATCACTGAAAAGAGAAGAAGGCAAGGACGTCCAAGAGTTCAGACCTGCGAATGGGTGAGACTTGATCCTCACAGTGTGATCCCCACACCAATAACATCAGGACATCTGAGGGCTTCGAAGGCCCCATCCCAGAGCCAGCAAATCAGAATCTGACTTCAAACAAGATCCCTAGATGGCTTGTATACATATTAAAGTTTGAGAAGCGCTGCTCTGGGTTTGTTGTTAAAACACTAGATATGGAGATCAGTCATTAAAATAGTCTTTGATTAAAGTTTATAACTCACCAGAACTACACACACACACACACACACACACACACACACACACACACTTTCTATGATCACGGCTACTTTTTCATCTCACTGGGTTAAAAAGTGTATTTTCTCTATTATCATCTGGCTCTACCAATGGGATGAATCTGGAATCCTAGTTCTTTTGGATCTTTTAGGTCCAAAGATGTCTTTTTCTTTACCCTAGAAAGAGCTTTATTACAGAGGGTGTTCTATACCTGGGTATGTGGAACAAGCATCTTTGAATTATAATCCATTTAAATTTGAGAAATATTTTACTTCTATCTAGAACTGGTGGTATTAGAGGTTCATAGTCTTGCTACATGATTGGGCCAAATACCAAGACACATGGGAATCCCAACTGGGTGAACACCTTTCAATAACTCAACACCAAAAGTATCTATTTAGAGGAAAACCACAACACAGGGCTGAATTGATCCACAGCTTCGGGTTATTTCAACGTAAAGTGTTTTCTAAAACCACATGGCAGAACTTCTGTAGGTCAGAGTGGAAACATTAATGAATCAGAGAACAAGGCTCAACGCCATTTTGGCCAAAAAGGGAAGCGCCTTAGCACTCACAGATGCAAGTGTGCTGGTCATCTGCAAACTCATAACCACTCCGGCACTCACACCTGTAGCTTCCCGGCAAGTTGATACACACGGAGTTGGGGCCGCAGCGATGGAAGCCGATGGCACACTCATTTACATCTAAGAAGAAATAAGGACAGAAAAGCACTGCTTAAATCAACGGTTCCCCAAGTGGCAGGTCTGAAAACCCAGTGTTTTCTCACTGCCATGATGCTCCAACAGAACAAATAAATTCGTGGGGGGGAAATATGTCAAAATGTAGTATTTCTAAGCATCAGACGTGAATGCATGTTGCAGGATAACCTTCAGATAATCTTTATCTCAAGTCATTCAAGTATATAAGTCACAGGGAAAATATTTGAATATTCTGAGAATTCTTTAAACAGTAAAAAATAAAACCCACTCAACATTTAAAAGAAAAACACACTAACAATTTTTCTTTTAGAAATGTAAAGAAATTTCTGTCGCTTGTGGGGATGTCAGGGGTAAAAGGAACACAAGGTCTGAAACCTAAAGATAACCAGAAAACATGTTTTCATAAATATAAGAAATACTTACTACAGGGTTAAAATGACCAAACTTGAGAACTCGAAATATGCAGGAATTGCAAATACGTGTCTTCTTTTCCCAGTCCCAGCCCCAAATACCCACCTCCAGCCTATCCTCTCAGTGTGCTTTGGGGCTGAAATAAGAGCATTTAGGTTAACAGCTGCTAAACATGTCTCATGCATCAGTAGAGATCCTCAAGCGGACGCACTGGTCTTCTGTTAACACAGAGCTGGAGGACCCCGTGAACGAACAGGGCGCACACCACTTACCCGCACAGCTGCGTCCGTCTCCCTGATACCCAGAGATGCACTCGCAGGTGTAGTCTACCCCTGCCCCTGGGTGGCAACGAGCCCTCGTGTCACATGTGTGTCTCCCATCGTAGCAAGGATTCACACGGATGGGGTCTGAGTCCCCTGCATGAGTAGAGAGGAAATAGATGACACAAGCACAATCCGGTTGTTACAGAGAACGGCGCCGATGGGAGATCGAGGACTCCTCGGGACGGCCCACATACTCATCTGTTTGGGGGCGCGCCTGGCGACCTTGCTAAATTTTTAATACCCCGAGCCGGGCTAGATTATTTAAGTTGCAGTATTAAATTCCACAACGGCCTCCTCTCGCCTACCCTACAGACAAGTAACGTTTTCTTGCTTACAGTAGGCTTGTGTCCAGGGAATGAACACATCACATGGCGTAACTTGATCGTAAAGCGCTCTCACTCGATCACCTCGTGTGATTCTCAGGATGACTTTGTGAGGTGGGCTGTCATCCCCATGACTGGTAACTTTCACAGATAAGTGAGAGACACTGGAAAAATTGCCCCAGCTCACAAAGCCAGGAAACGGTACAGCAAGAACTCACACCCCAAATTTCTGCCGCTAAACTGGGCAGTCTCTCACTGAAATTCACTATTTCCTAGGTCAAAATTTAATTACTGGGAAAATCTTGCCTTTTTTAAGGTTTGGAAGACTAAAGAGGGGTGATTTTTGCAGTATTTACTTTTTAGGATTAACCTTGCCACAGATCCATCCATCCACTAGGTATTGATAATGCTTAACATCTGAAATCTTCCCTAAAGAGTTTTGTTTCTGGATAGAGCACAGTAGTGATGCTTGTTGCAAACCTATTTGCCAGGCACTGTTCTAAAACCTTTTATATATACCATCCCTTTAAATCCTCACGACTGCACTTGTGAGGAAGGTATTACTGTCTTCATTTTTACTGTAGCGCAGAGGCCAAGTGACCTGGCAAAGGTCACCCAGTCAGAAGAGGTGGGCGGAGCAGGGGTAAAGAGCCAGGCTGTCTGTGCTTTCCGCCACTTTGCTACGGCCACCACCAAAGGAACTTCATAAAGCTAGCTAAGCCTAGGGCACAGATGTGATGTGGGAAAGGACCCCAGACACAATGAATCCATTCACTGGGCAGTTCCATTCACTCCTCTGATTCCTCGGGTGTCAAACAGGAATAAAGATAATGATCATATCTGCTAAAACTGAAGAAAATAAAGAGCCCTGACATGATATATATGAGAGGCAACTCCCCCCGTGGACAGGCCTACCCAGTCCCTAGGGACGACGTTCCTTCTTCCTCCTCGGTGGGACCCCTGCTCGTCCTCACTTGGTTTCAGCTTTGTCTCAGTCCCTAGAATTAATTCTGATCTTAGATCTCAAAGGTTTCAGGAGCTTCACCCAAACCTCCCAGGCTTCACATCAAGCCATCCCAGCTACAAATGGGGCTTCATCTAAGTCATAACTGGAGCTTCTGCCTTGGATTTCTGCCTATGCCGGAGTCCCTGTCTTGACGGCCAGCTCAGCACACCCCAAGTCCTGCCTCGCTCTCACGGCTCAAGGGACCAGCATCCTGGCATCAGTAGACACAGTGGCAGTACCGCCTACCTTAACTTCCTAGTACCACTTCCTCCTAGGTTCCCTCTCACATCTCTCTAGCTCACCCACATCTCCTCACCGCTCTTACCTCAGGCAGTTGGGCCTTGCCCATGTAACTCCTAGTCTAGACCCAAGTGCTTGCTGCTGTCACCTGTGTCAGACTGGACTCCCTCCCTGTCCTTCAGGATGTCCAGCCACCTCCCCACAGCTTGCCCCACTACCCACGTGGACCCTTCCACTATTCTGTGTTAGTCTGCTGTGAACTGGGCTGCCTTGGCTGAGTCTCCAAAGGGACCTCCCTGCATTCTGGTAAATTCCTCCCGTTGCCTTAGAAGACACCCCCACCATGTGCTCTTGCAGGGGAATATTCTTATTCCCATATTATGGCCTAAAAAGAAAAAAAGGAGGGCCATGCGTTTATCCTTGGATTGCTTCAATGATGCTGGCTGGAGAAGGTTACAGAATCTTTGCCAAGAAAAAGGGACCAACAAATGGCTCCGGCACTTTTTAAACCTGATGAACTTAAGGATGTCAACGTGAGCCTAGCTCCAAATAGCAAGCAGACACCCTTGCACGTCCCTCGTTCTTCCCTCCGCATCTCCTGGTGGACAGGATGGAAACACAATGCTGGGGTTACAGAGTTGTACAGACCAAGTTCCTGAGACAGTCCCCAGCATGGTTATAGTTAAGAACAATAGGGTCATGTCCTCATTGAAGGCCTGACGCAAGACAATTCTTATTTCTCCATTTTAGGAGAAGATTCTGTATAAAATGCCTGGCCTACCCAGCCAAAGGGGGAAGTGAGCTTTGAAATGATTTAATTTGTAAATACTAACGCTTAACCTTCTTGCTCCGTACTTTCCAGCATCCAGTTTGCACTGTGGCACATTCTGGCAAAGATTAGTAAGTATGCAGAGATGTCAAAAGCTTACCACCCAGTTAGGCACGCAAAAAATGCAGTCCAAAAGCTGACTTTCAGACTTGGATGGGATACCCTGGCCTACCTGAAACTAAGGGGAAAATAATGTCCATAATTACAGGACACTGATTTAAAATATGCTTCACTGACTCGGCAGGCCACATAATTCAGAGCCCAGTGCAAGAGGAAAATGTGGAGCCCTCGCTCAAAAATTAAGAGTTTCAAGAGGACAGCGGAGGAGCAGTAAACCAAGTGTTAGAGTCCTTCTGAACACAGGCCCTGTTCACGGAATTCGGTTTCCAAAACCCTTGTTTTAAAAATACATTTCTAAAACCACATAGCTATGCGGGCTCTCTGGCATGTTCGCTCTCCCCCTATTGCAGCACGAACAACGGGATCCTCCTCACGACGAGTTCTAGTTCGCCCTGCCCCCCTCCAACAGCCTGACTCTCTGACAGGAGAGCTGGAACTAATTTACTCATTTAATCAAGAGAAGAGCGGTTTTCCTTCAAGCAACAGTCCGTTCCGCTTCCCCGCGTGGCGCTCTGCCCAGTCTCCTCAACTTGCCAGAAGGAGCCCTGAAGTGGGCGCCAGGGGGTCCGGTTCTAGGAGCCCAGGAGAGACGGCCGACCCGCACCTGAAGCGCAAACACTGGGCGAGGTGCGGGGCCTGCGGCTGGGCCGGGCCCCAGGCTCCGACGGCTCACGGGGCGGACGCAGCCCCGACAGCACGGCCTCACCGGCCCTGGGAAGCCACGCGCGCCCACGTCGACTGGGGCGGCCGCGCTGTGTTCCAGACGTTCCAGCCGGACCGTCATTGCCTCTGGAGAGACGGAAACACTCAAGATGATAATGCTGTGCACGGAGGGCAGGGAGAGGGGGGTGCCGGGGGGGGTGGGGGAAGGATTTTGTTATCTGTTTTCTTTTGCCCCGTTTTTCTCCTATTCAGGGAGCATAACCCGTATTGCAGTGTTCTATAGGGGTGGATGCAACAGGGTGCAGACACAAAGGGTTAAAACACACATTCCCTCTTGCAATTCGGCCCAAATTTTGAGGCGTCCTGAGGCCAGTGGAGTCCATGTGGGAAAGCAGGGCCAGGCGAGGTGACGGGGTGGGCTCTGGAGCTGGTGCCCGGGATTGGGTCCCAGCTGGTCACTTTGTAGCTGCGACTGGGCAAGTCTCTATAAAATGGGGGCTGATGATCGGCCTATTGGGCAGGGGATTGTGTGGGACTAAGTACTCCGAACAGGGCTTGGCACCAAGTAAACCATCCTTTGCTAGTGTTAGGATTTGACTTGCGTGGAAGGGAAAATCACATAAAGTTCTAAAGACAAATTAGCAGCCTGGTACCTGACAGTTTACTGGCATTCTTTCTGTTACTCCCATCTGGTTGGTCTCCAGGAAAAATACACCCAGAGATTTATCTTTTCCCCATATACTTCTAGAATCGGAGCAGGATTCCTTGGCCTGGGAGGCTCCTCCGCTAATCATTGGTTTTTACACATCAGACACCTTACACCCAGCAAAGGGCAGAAGGAGGTTTTCCTTTGTTTTTGCTCAAATCTTTTGAGAAAGAGACAATAATCTTTTCCCTTCTTCCGATACACGTTTCTCTAAAATCAACTGACATTTTCATGCTATTAATTCAATACCTTATAATCCTTGGGCTCCCAATGCCTGCACCCCCAAGCAAGTTTCCTAAAACCAAACTGCCCACCCACCCCGCACCAGCAAACTCTGGATTCTCCTTTCACGTCATCTCTGCATCCTTGAAGAGTCCAGCCCTCTGGCCTTAATCTCGGTATCATATTGCTGAAGTGACCGTCGCACCCTGAGCGTGAGGAGGCTTCCGGAGCCCTCCTGTCCAATGCTGAGTCCTAGAATCATCTCTCGGAGACACCAATTCCGGCCTCAACAGTATCAGTATGGAGCCACATGTGGGAGACCCTCTCTTTTCTCCCCGTGCCCCTCGAATTCTAGGGGAAAGCACTAGCTACTGGCTTTCAGAATTAAACTGTCCCTTTCGGGCACCTGGGTGGCTCAGTCAGGCCATGATCTCAGGGTCCTGGGATCGAGCCCTGCATCGGGCTCCCTGCTCAGCGGGGAGTCTGCTTCTCCCTCTCCCACTGTTCCTGCTCTCTCTCAAATAAATAAAATCTTTAAAAAAATAAATAAAAGGTCCCTTCCATCTGACAATTTCCTACCTGCTAGGGTTCCCAGGAGTTTGCAAGCTCATCTTCTGGCTCGCCTAAACATTTTTTATTTTTTTAATCAAGATTTTTAAAGAACAGTTTCAGGTTTACAGAAAAACTGAGAAGTAAAGGTTCCATACCCTCCCCTTTCTCCAGTTTGCAGTTCATTAGCTTCTTGTATTAGTGTGGTACATTTATAACTGATAAACCAAGATGGATATAGTATTACCTAAAATCTCTAGTTTACATTAGGGCTCACTCTTTGTGTCATGCAGTTGTAGGTTTCGGTAGATGTATCCACATCTACAGTGAATAGCTTCACTGTCCTAAAAATCCCATGCTCTCCCCATTTACCCCAACTCCCTCCCCCTGAACTCCTGCTAACCACGGATCTTTTTATTCTCTGTAGTTTCACTTTTCCTAGAATGTCATATACAGTTGACCCTTGAACAACACGGGGGGTAGGGGTGCTGACCCCCTGCATAGTTGAAAATCTGTATAACTCTTGACTCCCCCCAAACTAGTAGCCTACTGTTGACCAAAAGCTTTACCAATAACACATATTTTGTATATTATATACTGTATTCTTATAATAAAGCAAGCTAAAGAAAATGTTAAGAAAATACATGTTCAGTACTATATTGAAAAAAAAACCCACATATGAGTAAACCTGCCCAGTTCAAACCCATGTCATTCAAGGGTCAACTGTAGTTGGAATCACACCAAGGTAGCTTTTTTCAGACCGGCGTCTTTTGCTTAGCAATGTGTATTTCGGGTTACTCACGTTCTTAATGCTTCATAAGCCTAGAACATTTTTACCATCATGTTTATCAAGCTTCACAGGTATGGTTAATTCTAACTGAAGTTTGAGAAACACTGCTTTAGTTTTTTTTCCCCCTACAATTTTTTTTTCCAGTTAAGACAGAACTCACAAACCATATAATTCCCACATCTAAAGTACACAATTCAATGTTTTTTAGTATATTTACAGTTAGGCAACCATCACCACAATCAATTTTAAAACATCTTAATCCCCCCACAAAAGAAATTTGCACCCTTTGGCTATCCACTCCTTACCCTCCTATTATGCCCCAGCCCGACGCAACCACTAATCTACTGTTTTTGTGGATTTGCCTCTTTTGGATATTCCATTAGATAGAATCAAAATGTTGTCCTTTGTGACTAGTTACCTTCACTCAGCATATTTTCAAAATTCATTCCCATCAGTATTTCATTCCTTTTTTATGTGCTGATAATATTCCGCTATATGGATATAGGACATTTTAAAAATCCGTTCATCAACTGATGGACATTTGGGTTGTTCCTATCTTTTGGCTATTCTGAGTAATGCTGCCATGAATATTTGTGGCCAAGTTTTTGTGGGGACATAAACTTTCATTTCTCTTGGTTATATAGCTAGGAGTAGAATTGCTCAAGTGGTAACTCTGTGTTTAACTTTGAGAAACTGGACTGTTTTCCACAGTAGGTATACCATTTTATAATCCTGCCAGCAGTGTATGAGGGTTTATTTCTCCACATCTTCACCAATGCTTGTTATTATCTGTTTTTTATTGTCGCTGTCCACATGCATGTAAAGTAGCATCATTATGGTTTTGATTGTGTTTGCATTTCCCTGATAACTAATGATATTGAGCATCTTCTCATGTGCTTTGGGTGTTTATCTTCTGACAAATGTTCTATCCAAATATCTTTTTATTGTGTTGTAAGAGTTCTTCGTATATTCTAGATACAAGTCTCTTATTAAATAAAGGATTTTCAGGGGCTCCTGGGTGGCTCAGTAGATTAAGCATCTGCTTTTGGCTCAGGTCATGATCCCAGGGTCCTGGGATGGAGCCCTGCATCAGGCTCCCTGCTCAGCGGGGAATCTGCTTCTCCCTCTCCCTCTGCAGTTCCCCCTGCGTGTGCTTTCTCTCAAATAGATAAATCAAATCTTTTAAAAAGTATAGGATTTTAAAATATTTTATCCCATTCTGTGGGTTGTATGTTCACTTTGTTGATAATATCATCCAAAGCACAAGTTTTTAATTTTGATGACACCCAATTTTTTCCTTTGTTGCTTATGCTTTTAGTATCCCCTCTAAAGAAGCCATTCCCAAATGCAGAGTCACAAAAATTCACACCTTATTTTTTCTAAAATTTTAGCTATATTACATTAACATCTTTGACCCATTTTTGGTTAATTTTTTTTTTAAGATTATATTTATTTATTTTGACAGAGAGAGAGACAGCGAGAGAGGGAACACAAGCAGGGGGAGTGGGAGAGGGAGAAGCAGGCTTCCCGCTGAGCAGGGAGCCCGATGCGGGGCTCAATCCCAGGACCCTGGGATCATGACCCGAGCCGAAGGCAGACGCTTAACGACTGAGCCACCCAGGCGCCCCCGGTTAATTTTTGTATATAGTATGAGATAGGGGTCCCTCATCATTCTTTAGAATGTGGATATCCAGCTGTTCCAGAACCATTTGTTTAAAAAACCTATTCTCTCTCCTCACTGAATTGTTTTGGCAACCTTGTCAAAAACCAACAGACTGTAAATGTGTTTGTGTTTATTTCTGGATTCTTGCTTCTATTCCATTGATCTGTATATCCATTCTTATGCTAGGAACACACGGTCTTCATTACTCTAAGTTTTGAAATCAGGAAGTGGAATTCCTCCAACTCTGTTCTTTTTCAGTATTGTTTTGGCTATTCTGGGTTCCTTAAATTTCCTTGAATTTTAGGATCAATTTCTCAGTTTTTGCCAAAAAGCCAGCTAATAGGACTGTATTGAATCTATAGATCAATTTAGGAAGCATTGCCATTTTAATACTAAGTCTTCTGATTCATAAATATGGAATTCAGTCTTCTAATTTTCTTTTTATTTAGGTCTCAATTTTTTTTTCCAAAAATGCTTTATAGGTTTTAACGTAAAAGTATTATACTTAAAATTTTTTTTTATTCCTAAACATTTTTGAACAGAATCATTTAAAATTTCCTTTTCAGTTTGCTCATTGTTACTATATAGAAATACAAGATCAAAATACAAAAATTATATCCTGCAACTTTGCTGAACTTATTAGTTCTAACAGTTTAATGAATTAGATTTTCTATATATAAGATTACATCACAGGGGAACTTCTTCCTCTCTAGTCTGGATGCCTTTTATTGTCTTGCCTAATTGCCTGGGCTAAAACTTCCAATCCAGAGCTAAACAGAAGTGGCAAGAACACACACCCTTGTCTAATTCCTGATCTTAGAGTGAAAGCATCCAGTCTGTCTTCGTTGAGTACGATGTTAACTTGGGTTTTTCTTACATGTGGTTCTTTTTGATTTTCCAGGCACTGGCTCTTTGTCTTACCTTAACTTGGTGAAATCGTTCTCCTCCTTTAAGTTCTAGCTAAAAATGTCACTTTCTAGGGACCTCTTCCCTGAACCTCCAGGCTAGGCTCATAGCACCCTGTTCTCATCACAATTGTAACAAAACTTGTCAGCATCATTTTCCCTCCTGACTTGGCCTCACCTTGTTCACAGGTGTCTCCCCAACACAGACTGGCACACATATGGGGTTTGACTACAGATCAGCTTCACATATCGTACTCTATTCCTTTGTTTGGCAGGGACACTGTTCTAAAAGTTCCATTTCTACCTCTGTCTCCATCTCTAAGACAAGACTCTGCTTTATTCATCCTTACCCTCAGCACCTAACACAGAGCCTGGCACTCAGTAACCCTTAGGAACCTCTGTGAATCATTCTGAGGTGACTCAAAAAGGAAGCAATGTTAGATTCAATTTTTGCCCAAAACAACAGAAGGAAACGTACCTTCAACTGGGCCAATCTGATTGGTCACAGCAAATCTAAGCACCCTTTCTTCCTCCGTGTACAAGGCAAAGACCCGGTCCACATTCAGCTGCTGGGGGGTGGGGACGGCCGGGTGTCTGGGGGCGTGCCTGCAGGCCTCGTAAGTGATGTTCTGGTAGATGCGGTAGGACCGTGTTTGGTTGATGGCACCAAAGGTGAGTGAGTAGTCTCTGGAACTTGTGGAGGTCACAGCTGCAAAAGACATTATTCAGCCCAACTGGGTAAATGTTTAAAATATTAGAGAGTTTCATGTAGGGTCGATTTTTTCTGTAGGGTTTTTCACCTAATGCCTAGGGCTTGTTCCCTTGGGAAATTCCTGAGTTTATATGGAAAACCCGCAAGGCAATTCCGGGAATCTGAGTAGATGCAAAGCCAAAGTGCTGTCATTGCTGTCATTATTAGCAAAGAATAAATTCTGCTACCATGTGCCAGCTATGCCAGGCGCTCTATAAGCATGGCCTTCTTCATGCCTCATACCAGCAAGGTGGGCCCCGAGATCATGTGCAGGGAGCCTTACAGAGGTCAAGAAGTAGCCTAAGACATGAGGCCAACGTGTGATAGAGCTGGAACTGGAACACAAGTCAGCCTGACTCTATACCCCAAGTTTTCAAGCAGTCCACGCTCTAGAGGACGCAGATGTGACTGCTCCCAACACTCTGCACTTAAGCCTGAAGGGTTCGGGCAAAGGAAGGGGCTGTTTCTCTGTCTGAGCGTGCAGTTGGAAGCCCGGACCAGGGTTCTGTTCACCGTCTGGGTCTCCACTACCCGTTCTCCTCCCTTCATCTCCTGCCCAGCTTCCAACTCTCACACCACAGAAGGAAGAAAGGCACAGCTCCAAGCAAACCACTCTGCTGCAGGACAGCAACTGTGACTAAGCCAACATCTTGCATTCGGGTGGTTTTCCAGAACTCATCAGGATTGACACATGTCAACCACGGAAAGCAAGGTGAAAAGGTGTTCTTATGCTCATTCTGAAGAGGAGAAAATAGGCTGTCAGATGGTAAGTGACCTTATCCCCATATATTTTCAACTACAAATCCGTGATGTGAATTCCTATCTTCTGACTCCAAATCGTTTTACAACGCTGTGCAGCATCTCATTTTAAAACAGGCTGAAATGAGGGTACAGGACAAGTAAAAATTCCAATAATCCCTACTTTCCCGTGGTCCAGATGGTTTAAAACTGTAGGTACTCATACAACCCTTAAACACCCCCAGAGACAAGGTTGCTGTTTCTTACATTATCACTGGCATTACATTAACACTGGGATGGGGACACTGATATTCATTTATGCAGCAGCCAACACTCCTCTCACTTATACTATATATTTGATAAGAGTAATAAAAAGGATATTGAGCTCCTTTTATGTACCACACGCTGTTCTAAGGACATTCCATGTAATAGCTCATCATCCTCACAAATATCTCGCAAAATATGTACCATCCCCATGTTATAGGTGTCAAAACTGGTTATACATACCTGAGTCTGAGTAGTGGTAAATCTCCTTGTAGGGAGCTATGTGGACTGTGAAATTTGCTGGGATGTAGGGCACCTGGCCCTGAATGTTGGTCTTAATGCTCAGATAGTTCTCTGGGTCAAGTCCCTCGGCAGTTTGAGTGATTCGAACCCTCTCTTCTCCTGGGTGGAAAGTAACTTCCATATCATGGGTAAAGGTAGCACCTGGAGAGGAAGAAAGAATTTAGCACAGAGCTAGGATGAGGTAGCATCTTCCAGTAATAATTACCAGCGCATACTTCTTAATTTCTACTGCTGTTGGAGATGGTGCCTAAGAAGATTATCTGATATCCAAGACTAACTACTATTAGCTGTTGATTTCATCGGTTCCCCAAATTTTCTATTAAACGGTGTGGATTCATCCTGCCTCATTTCACACTGCTTCTCTTTCTAACAGCTTGTTTTCTGTGAGAAGCTACTGGGGACATCTTGACCCTTCTCTTTGTAAGGTTGCCAGACTTAAAAAACAAACAAGCAAAAAAAAAAAAAACCTTAGGACACCCAGTTAAATTTGAATTTCAGATAAATAATGAATATATTTTAGCAGAATACATCTCATACAATATTTGGCACATACTTTTACTAAGTTAAGCAGAAGATGATTGTTTTATTCAAAACTTGCCGAAAAACAAGATCCCCCGAAAAGCTCTTGAATCTATAGCTGAAGGTGGGGGGAAGAACTTTTCTCTCAGTACTTTCTCTGTGATAAAGATAAATCCAGTAGGAAACAAGCCTTTGCACGTAAGGAGCAAAGTGCCCCAAAGTATCCTCTACACCCTTGCTATCAAAGGGTGGTCCTTAGACCAGCATGAGCGTCTCCGGGGAGCTGGTTGGGAAAACAGAATCATAGACCCCACCCCGGGGCCACAGAGCCAGAATCTGCCTTTTCACAAGGGCTGCAGGTGATCTGTGTGCAGGTTAGAGTCTGAGAAGGACTGGTCTGTACCATTGTCGGTCAGAGTTGTTGGGGTGAGAGGAGGAAGGAAGTTTACTCACGAAGTAAACTCCTCTCCAGATACCCTGTGATCACCATTTGTGCATCCCTGTTTGACAGATCTGCGCCTAACAACTCAAGTAAACACAGCCTGACAAACAAGCTTCAACCCATTCGGGTGAAAGGACCTACATGTTCCAAAGGGAATAATCCTATTCCTCAGGACAACGTGAAGAACATGTGGAAGGAATCAGTCTTTCACAAACAGTCCTGTGAGACCAAACCATTCCCAACTACCGCCCGCACAGAAAACGAGACCCCCTGAGGCTCTGGAACACGGAACAAGCCAATCCTCACTCACGGAATATCAAGACCAAAGTGTGATGGCCAGTGACCAGCGGCCCCTTCAAATATCCTACTCACCTGTGAAGCTAAAGCCATTCTCCCAGCCTGGTTTCTGTAAAGCAAAGAGCCAGCCAAATAGGCCTCCGATTGGTGTGAGCGGGAGAAGGGCTTGGGCCGCGGGCTGAGGGATGTGGCTGATGGCCGTGTAGGCTCTGCCGTCATTGCCCACAATGTAAGCATGCAGGTCCACATCCTCGAAGTGCACGGACGTATGGCCCACATGGAGGTGGCCACTCACTTTCCCATTGACCCGATGAGGTGCCCCTGAAAGATAGCAAATCCAGTCGACTAGGTTCATCGTCCAGGTTGGCGATGGGCACGTGGAAAATCATTCCACTCACGATTCCCAAAACTCAGTCTTTGGCCATTCTCATGATTCCGTAACCGACCGATTAACTGTCTAGGTACAAAACAGACCTGTCTTCGATTTCTTTTCTCCCATCCTCCCACTCTCCCATCCACTTTGACTCTAATGAGCTGGCAAAAACGAGGAAAGACTTCTGGCTAATCCTCAAATTGGGAAAGGAGCCCAAATGTGTTCATTTCTCAAACATTTATCCAGCACCTTCAAGTGGCCAATGCTGGGATGCATGCAGTGGAGATGCGCGGTCCATAAAGCAGAGTTCACAGCCCCAGTCGCAAACCAGCGAGCAGCAAAATCATACAGAGCGGCAGCCCCCAGCCCGGTCAAGTGCACACCCCTTACCTTCTGGGAGACAGTGCTTCCCATTTCCGTAAAACCTGGACTGGCAGTGGCAGCAGAAGCCAGTGGCGTAGTCGGTGCAGAAGGCATGCCGGGAGCACTGTCTGTGGTGGTGCTCACAGGTTTCCTTGTTGGCAGCATTATACGTGAAGACTGGAAAGCAGAAACCAACTTGCGTTAAAAGGACAGATTCCAGCATCGTTGCTGTCAAGCTTCATTATGGACACCACATCTGCGCCATAAAATCGGCTTAGATGGTAATAAACAAATGGGTTTTTGATGTTTAAGAGACAGGAACAACATTCAACCCAGGGGAATTAACTTGCTTGGTCTTCTGGCAAGGAGTACTGCTGATGGCTCCCATCTGGTCTCAGTGCAGAGCTGGGGAAGGCGGAGGAGGCTGCACCACTCCGGTGTGAGTGCAGGAACAGAAAGGCCAACCAGGAAGCACATGTTAGGCTGAACTGCACAAAACTGCCGTCCTGTGGGTCTACAACGGTCAAATAGCAGGTTTATGTGGCTCAATCCGAAAGGAACGACCCCAAGAGGAAGACTGAAGGAGAAATAATGAATGCAGTCTTGGGTCCAAGCATTCTTCTCTTCTAGGGGGACCCTGAACCTAGAGAGAATAGCTTGTAGCTTGTCTCACTGCCCAGGGAAGTAGGTTTTCTTGTGAGAAGGGCCTGCAAGAGCACACACAACCCCCCCCTAAGGAAAGTCTACGGAGAGGGAGGGAGGAGAGGGAAGAGGGGAGCCAGCTCTTGTTTGCCCTGTGCCTTTACAGGGTTTCTGGTGGCAGGTATGGCACAAGCAGACTGCCACGCAGTATAAGAGAGGGGGCCACAATCACAGCTCTTCTGGGAGACCCACGTGGACCAGTAGTGGTTCCTTCCGTCTCCCACTTATTCGGCCCATTAAAAAAAAAAAAAAAGAGGGCCATCTGTACTACCAAGAAACAGAGGAATTGGAGCAGATGCCATTGTCCATAAAAGAAATGGCCAAGGTAAAAAACAAAACAAAACAAACAAACAAAAAGAAATGGCCAAGGGAGCGGGGCGTGGCTGGGGGGCTCTAATGGAGAAGAGGGGGCTTTCTCCGGACACCAGGGATGATGCTAATCCTGAGCGTGGCCGCCAGGAGGCAAAGTGGCTGTGCACACCTGGCCTCCACCTCCCTGGGAGCAGCAGCTGGGGGAGACTCCGGGAGCACAGGGGCCAAGCAGGGACAGCACAGAAGCCTAGTGCGGGACTGCTGCAAGGGGTCAGCTCCCGAGGAAGACAGACACCCGACCCCTGGGCGAACCTAGCTGGCAGCCGTGCTCCAGATCTAGGTCTGAGGAGAAGGAGACCGGAGGGCAAGGAAGAAATGGAAAGATCAACAGGTAGGGACACAGGATTCCAGGGAAGAGCAGAAAAAGAAACCGAGGGAGGGAAGATGTAGCACCACGTTAAGTAACACCCAGCCAGAGACTTATCAACCAGTGAAAACAGAACACAGTTAACATTTAAATAGTGCTTCCTCTATGCCAGATACTGCTCTATGAAATTTATTCACGCTTTCAGTTTGCACGCAAGCACGGGCCCTTTTTATTCCAGTTCTGCAGATACACAAGGCGAAGCACAGATTAAAGGGACTTCCCTGAAGTCATCCAGGCAGTAGGTAGCAGAGTTGGGATTTACACCCAGGAGGTCTGGCTCCAGATTCCTAACAGCTGTAGTGCAGTGCAACCCAAGTACCTAGACCGAGAGAGCTAGGTTAAGGATCTGATCAGGTGCTTGAGGCTGATCAGCATAGGCTTCAGCCGGTCAGATTTGAGGCATACTTTATAAATCAAGCCTAATGAATGGTAGCAGAGTGCTGAGACAATCCAGATGGGGCTTACAGCACGCTGGGGGCAAAGCACAGGAAGAGCATTAGCTTTTGGACAGTAGGACAGTCCCTGACTGATGCTAACGGGTTCTTGAGAAAGCGGCAGGCTGAGGGGTTGGCAGGACAGGTAATACGGTCTCCAGTGGAACGTCTGGGAGCAGCGGGAGAATGAAGTCAGGAGAGCACCTTGATGACACAGTTGAAAAATTTCAGTTTGATAAAAATAGATATTTAGGCATAACCCTGAATGTTTTTTTTTAAATAGGAAAGTGATATAGAACTCACATCCCCCTCACCCCAAAAAACCCAGAGTGGATATTGTGAAGTTGTGAACTGTTGTGAAGAAAACTATGCATCACTGTCTACCATTGGTTTAAGAAGTCCAGGGGGATCCAGTTTTAAGAAAAAGAAACCAATGAAAAAAAAAAGAAAAGAAACCAATGTAACTTGTCAGTCTCAGGTATCTCCAGCCCCTAAGGTAACAGCTAAGTGTAAAGCAACAGCGCCTGGAGGACCTCGCCCAGGGGCAAGTGCTCAGGCAGGACTCACCTCCAGAACAAGGTGGGCAAGGGACGTGGGTGTGTGGGGAGAATAGCAGGGTGCCCCCCACCTCCAGAGCTCAACCGTGCCCATGGCTCAGGTGGCTCTGTGCAAACCGCAGAAATGCACTCTCTGTTCCCTCCTAGAATCAGGGTGACACTCCTCCACACCTCCTTTGCCAGAAGTCACATTTTTCCTGAACGTACTTCTGAGTACCAAGGTAAAGAAGCAATCTGATACAGGCCTAAAGGATAGTCATTTTCAGGTGAAGTCGAGTAAAAATAAAACCAAACTCTAAACACTATTCTCCGGAATTAAAGAAATGGTGGGTTTGTGTTATATTCCCTGTATTTGTTATTTGGTGAAGACTTGCACTCAGTCCCCATTGCAAGAGTGGGTCATCGGAACAGGGGGAGATGGGATGCAGGAAGACCACTGATAGGGAGAGTTAGGTTAATTTAACTAAAAGGCACAGGCATGGCTTTCCTATGGGCAAAAGGAGAGAAGCTCAGCAATGCAGCCAGCAACTTACAAAGGCAGCTGTGCCAAAGTTTGAGCTGATTGCCATGCGGACTGCATTTTTCTCACAACAAGAAACAAAAAATGGCTCGCTTGAAAGGCCATTAGGCAACTGAAACTATAATCATAACAGGTTATTGGTTATTGGGAAGCTGCTCAGGGATATTCATAAGCAGTTTTGTGGAATATTGCATTCTCTGGATGAAGCTTATTGGGTCACAAACAGAAGCTCAGCCTTTCAGCCCCATGACAACTACACAGGGAAAGAAGATGGGTTCGCTCCTAACAGGGGCATCACAGGCTCCCCTTAGGATCCCTTTTCCGTGCCTGCCCTCACACAGGTGTGCTCGCAGAAGCACACACTTAAAACTTACAACATCAGCTTGTCAGGGGAAAGAGGTAAACGCCTGTTGTACTTTTTTTTCATTTGTTAATTCAACAAATAATGGGAGCACTCACTATGGGCCTGGCTCTGATCTAGGAATTAGGGATAGAGCAGACAAACATTCTGTCCCGAAGCTTACATTCTCCTAGGCAGCAGTGAACAAACAGGTAAATGATTTAGTACAGAGGTTGTCGTTAAGAGCTATACAGAATCTTAAATCAGGGAAGGTCAAGAGGGCTGACAGGGGAGGGGACTTCGCTCTTTTAAGAAGCGGGATCAGGAAAGACCTTGGGAGAAGGTGACCTCGGAGCAGAGGCAACAGGACACAAGGGACATGGGAGAGGAGCAGGGGCAGCGGGAGAAGACTGGGGAGGTCCTGGCCGGTTGGCAGAGGGTCCTGCAGGTCACAGGAAGGAGCTGGGCTTCGGTCTGAGTGAGAAGGGGAGCCACTGGGGCATCTGGAGAAGAGTGATGACATCAGACTTACGATACCTCGAGAATGAGCCAGTAAGCAGGTGTCCTGGCCACTGGAAGTGCCGTTGGAGAAGAAGGGCCCAGATACAGAATATTTTGAAGATGGAGCAGACAGGATTTGCTGATGGCTTGGAGGGAGCAGAGAATGGGAGCAGAAAGGGAGAGAAGGCGAGAGCGAGGGAGAGAGAGAAGACAGCAGAGAGAGAGAAGTCCACGTGATATTCACATCTTGGTGAACTGCCATCTCCGCAGACAGGGACGCTGTGGTGGAGGTTTGTGAGCGATCGGTTCCAGCAACGGCTTGGAGGCATCAGGGAAGCTCTGCCCCCTCTGACAGGACCTATAGCCTCAGCAGGGCCTCATTCAACCCCACAGAAGGAGAGCTGCATTTCTCCGTGGGCTGGGGAGGGGGGACTATTGCATCAGAATCACCTGGGGTGCCTGTTAAAAACACTAATTCCCAGGGCACACCTTAGCGCTACCAATCCAGATTCTAGGGGTGGATCCCAGGTATCTGCACCTGAGCCACTCCCCTGGTGGTTCTTATGCCCACTGGTGATGATGTTCAGGACGTTTGTAAACTTTCCATTTCTGAGCTAGGGAATGCTCGTTAACGTAGTTAATGAATTTCATCTGACAGCAGCTCCTAGGGTGGTGGGATTTCAGAGAATGCTCTCACATTCATTCCTGGCCGGCTGAGCAACAGGACTCAGTGCTTATTGCCCACTTGGGCCCAGAGCCACAAGCAAGCAACGTGAAGATCCTTTAGTGGAGGAAGCCCAGAAGCCAGACCCTTCCCTGAAGAAGAGGCAGAACTGCACCTAGAAACAGATCCCACATGCAGCTATCAATCCCAGGCAAGAAAAGCCAGACTTTTGGCCAATGGGCCTTCTAAAATTTCTATGGGAAATGCAGATAGATCCAAAGATGCTGCACTACTTCAAGGTGTAGAATCAGTGTCTGAAATCCCAGCTAGATGAGACGTGCGATGAGCTCATCCCAAAACAAAGTGGCAATTTTCTTTTTCAGTGATATGCCTCTTCACATCAGACTTCTGGATGTATTTTCACACACTTCTCCCTAGTCTGGTAAAGAAATATTATCTCCATTTTATGGATGAGAAAACAGAGGCCCATGGACATGATAATGGTCTTCTGGCTCTAAATCCCATGCTTTTTCCATTACACGGGGCAGTACTCATGTGTGGCCTTTGGAATCATCAGGGGACCTGGTTTAAAAATGCAGATTCTGGTTCAGACAGTGGAGGAGGAGTGTGGAAATCCGCATTTTAAAAGAAGGGCCCCAGGTGAATCAGGTGCAAGTGAACTAGAGCTCACCCTGAGAAATCCTTTTTCTTCCATGGCCTCCTTTCTCCTGAATTTACCCAGAGGCTACCTTTCGTAGACCCTCCTGGGACCCACTCTGCCCAAGAGCACCTGTCACAGAGACTCAAACAGTAGAGACAAGTCTGCTGGCTTTTCAGGGCACAGCAGGAGGGCGGAGGCCAGCCAGGTTTGAAGCACTGAGTTTGCAAAGGCTTTGTGAACTGTGGTTAGACAGCGGGTAAAGCAGTCTTTACATGAGGACTTTTAAATCTCTTTTCTTTTTCCCATTTAATGCTTTTTTACTCTTCTCATATCCTTAATAGAAAGAAAAATGGGTACATAAAAGAAGCAAAGGCATGGCCAAAGTACTTGAGATTTGTCCTAATTAGGAGTTACTCATGAAAATGGAAAACTCTGCACCAGATTTGATCTGTCCTTCAGTCTTCATTTTGCCAGCAACATTTAAGCACCTGTCTGCAGCCTTGGGCCTGCCCTCCTTTGTTAAGGGCTCTGGCCCAGCCACGTGGAAGAGGGAAGGCGGGCATGTTCCAGGCACAGTGTGGGAGCACAGAGGGGATGGAGGGTGTCCGGCGTGGGGCTGCCCCTGGCAGCTGGAGTGGCTTTTACTTTTAACAGCTTTTACTAAAGAAAAGGACCCACATTTTCACTGCAGGAAAGATCTTCCTAAGTCTCCCTGCCTTGAAGAATGATTGATTAGTAAGAAAAACCATATCGAACTTTCTAATGAAAAACAGTGGCTTGCTTTTTCCTCCCGTTTTCATGTTTATTCCTGGCGTGTCTGTGTGTAGTGTATAGTGATGCTGGCTGGGCAAATAGTTATTAGGACCATGACACCAGCAGGCTCTGCCATGCAGGTGTCTTCACGGGTATGGGAGGCCTTGGTGTTCACAGACCCCGAGCAACCTGGAGCTGTACCCGGGAGAGAGGCTTTCTCGTCTGGAAGGCGGGGTGGGGAGGCCGGGCCTGCTCTAATCCATTGCGGGGTGGAAGCCGCATGAGTAACACATTCCTGCAGCCTTTCCCAAAGCCAAAAGTAGGGTGGGACTAGAAGCCGCAGGGAAATCCCTGTGACACCCTGGGCTTTTCCGGCTCGACTGCCATCTAAGGAGGAACACGAGGATCCAACAATGGAGTATGAAGAGGTTTTGAAAGCCAGGTGTCCCTCCCCCGTTCTAACTCACCATGCAGATGGAGGCAGGATGCCGCTCCTCGTAGCACCACCTCAGCAGGCGTAAGGGTAGCTAAGACTCTGTAAGTCATCATCCCTGCTCCCCACCACACACGTGGTCCTGGTCAGCTGTCGCCCTCACCTCGTTCACCCGCCCCCTTGACTCTCTCCCTCTTTCCATTTCCACACGTCAGTCCTCTGTGCGGACTGTTTCCTCAGTTTCCCTCTCTGGACTCAGACTCTGACCCCATGGGCTGGCTCAAGGCCCTCCTCCTCCACGAAGACTTCCCAAACTGCAGGGACACATGGGTCAGCTCACAGCTGGGGCCAGTCCTTCCATGGCTTCCTTGCCTCTTACTCAGACAAGTCAGTATCTCCAGGCTTCAGTTTCTTCCTCTGTAGCATGGGAAGACTAACAGTATCTACCTCACAAGGCAGTTCAGAAGAGCGATCGTGACAGCACAAACTAAAGCAAGTTCCCACTGAGTGTCCCAGTGGGAATGCAGGAAATGCCAGCCCAAACTTTTACTGGTGCCTCGGTCAGAGGACACGTGGCAGGTGCGCACGTAACTTTCTGGGCTGTCGACAAGCTCCTGGAGCTCCCTGGAGAAACAAGACACCTCAGACTGAGGATGCTTGCATTTCCATTTCATGGCTGGTTCTGTGCTCTATGAAAACAGACCAAAGCGAATGATACACTTGAGGCCAGAACTGGAGGGTGGTTGGGGCATTCTTGCATGGCGTACACATGTTCTGAAAAGAATCTACATTTCTCAACAACAAGAAAAGTCTGTAAAAAGAGTCCCTAAGGGCAAAAAAAAATTTGAAAAGAAAGGGAGAGATATTTGGGGTTTCTTTAGCTAAATCTTAAGATCTTCGTTTGGCAAGATGACTTCTAAGTTTAAAAGGGAAATTAAAGTATGGGGCTTGGAGCTTCCCATATTCAATTTTGGTTCTCACAGCTACTTCACGAGGTCTACACTTCCTCCATGTTATAGCTGGGGAAAATGAGGGTCAAACAGAGTATACGTCTTACCCCAAACCACACAGCAGAGCTGGGAATCAAGCTCAAGTCCACCTAATACCAAAATCCCTGCTTCTCCATGCCATCAGTAGAAACAGCTAGGCAGGATGGCTCACGGCTGGGCCCTTGTAGGCAATGTTCTGTGTGCGTCTCTGACACCCCCACCCACCAGCTGTCCCAGAGGAAGTCCACTTCTGCCTGATGGACCTCTGGGGTGCCAATGTTTCATCTGGGAAAAAAAAAAAAGTATCTAACAACTGCATGGTTCCATAATCCACGCAGTCTTCCTAAAGCCTGAGGTGAAAACAGAAGCTCACCCATTTTCCCTCTCTGCTTTCAGGTTTTAAAGTCTTCCCTCTGTACTAACATGCGGTTGCTGATTTTTTTTGTCCTTCAAGGTTCAAAAATGTCCAGTTAGATATTTTTTCCTAAATGTCTTAGTGTATTAACCAGCTTTTTCATATGCATTCTGCCATTCCTAAGACGTCAGGAGTGGACGCCCTCCAGCAGCTGCTAAATATCAGAGTTCATGCCCCAGAAGCGTGATGGCTGCCGTCTCTGTTCTCAACGTTCCTTAAGCCTCCTCCCTGTCACTCCAGTGAGCTCAACCTCCCATAGCTCAAAGCAGGCTGTGCAGCCCCTTCTTCTGAACTCTTTAATAAATCACTCCACAAATCTGCTTCTTCATATTCCAACCTCTTCCCAGGGCAGGAAAGCACAAGCGAAAAGACCATTTTAGGATTCCATCTTCACTTCAAAATCCCTTTACTAAAAATCTTTGATACTTGGCTTTACATTTTCTTTAGATATATGGAATTTTTGCTGAAAAGTCAGGAGGTTGTCAGAAGGGTGTAAAGGTTCTGAAGCCTTCCAATCAAATTCACATCTTGGATTTGACAGAAATGTAGTCCTTCGGCACAAATTAAGGCCCGGTGATTCAACAAGCCTCTTGGCTAGTCTCTAGCCATCGCCCACCCCATTCCTACCCCTTTAAATCTCCTATAATTAGAGCAGCCACCATTTATAAAGGATCAACTGGTGCAGACACTGAGAACTTTGTTATCTCATTTAGTCCCCTCAGCAAATTTAGGAGAAATCCGAGAGGCTTGGGGGTTCCATGAGTTGCCTCAGGTCACCCAGCAAGCGAGCGTGCAAGCAAGTGAGGCAGCTAGGATTCAAACCTAACTTTGACACCAGTGCTCTCCCTCCAGTCATGACACGATGCCACTTTCATCACAAAGTAGTTGTGATGAAATAAAATAGCACTTCTTCCTCCTAAAATAGCACTTTCCTCCTAAAATAGCACTTCTTCAAGCATATTCTTAGAGATCACTACCACAGCAGAAGAACACAGAAGGCCCTCTTTGCTGGGTCAACACGTCTTTACTACAAAAGAATGGGAAACAGAAAAGGTAGGTGGCGGAAGGGGGGTGAAGGGGGAAAGACGTCCTGAAGAGTGCTTTCACCTCTGGCCCCTTTCCTCCTATTAGAGGTCCGATGAGCAGTCCCTGGAACAAATGGAATGAATCCCTGCTCAGTTTCCCCCTCATGTGTTTACATCCCTGCCTGGGAAGAAAGAACTGAAGTGACAAGTCTCAACTAGGAGGAGAAGGCAAAATGGCTCCATGTCTGTATTAATTAACCACTGCCTCCTCCCGGCATTTCTTTGCTGGCCCCTCACTCTGGTCAGTGAGTCATGGAATAAGGACAGGACTCCAGGGAGGTGAATACCACAGCTGCACAGCCATGAACCAGAAATGACAAGACACAGGTGGCTGGCAACTTTCTTTCCCTATGGGTCTCTGCTCCCACACACCACCGATGCATCTCTAAGCAAGGGGAGCACAAGCGTTGTCCCACAACAGAGAACGAATCGGGAATGTTCATCTGAGCCAGCACAACCAGCCACTTAAAACTACAGCCTTAACCCCTCCATCCCTGTAATGTATACGAAACCTCAGAATGTTTCACCTTTGCTGAACTTTCAAACTGAAATACTTCATTACACTTGAGAGCGTAGCTGGCCCAAGCAGCCTAGCTCTTCCCCACTTGCTTCATGAGGCCCGTTTGTAAAAAAACATTATTAATGGTCAAGAGATTCCAACAGAATTTGCCTGCCAAGATTTATCTGGCAAAGGAAACATACTCCATCTCCTGAAACATAGGTTTAAAAAAGTCTGTTCCAATCTTCGTTTTGCTAAACGTTGCGCCATCTCCCTTGAGAGAAAAAGTGCAACTCTGTGCAAACCAGCATTTTAAAAATGAAACCCCAGCACCCGGTGTCGTCAGGCACTTACCCTCAGTGCTGGAACCGATGATGTCCTCCACGCCTAGCACTTGCCTCCCCGGGCCCAGCGGTGGAGTGTGAGCGGGCGCGGGGTAATTTAGAAGAACGGCCTTTCCCTCAGGATGGACTGGAGGAACATCCTCTTCCGAAGGTGGTGCCCCTCCCTCGGGGTAGGGAGATGGGGCTCCCTGGGCAGGACCCAGCAAATCTCCTTCTATCTCTGATGCAGCTGGGCCTCTGGTCCCCCGCTGTTCCCAAGACTCGACTGGGCCATTTAAACCTGGGGCATCTACCCCGCCCAGAGCTCTCCCCTCTTTGGCTTGAGGGTCGAAGGTGGCAGATTCGGTTTCAGGGTAGAGGGGCCGATCACTAGCGGTCAGCTGTGGCAAAGGGGAGGCCGGGTCAGATTCTGACGGAGATATCCCACCTCCTAAAGGTCTTGGCTCAGCTTTTGGCTGGAAGGAAACATCAGTCCTGCTGTGGCCATCCCAGGCGTCCTCTGGCTCACTTGGGGAGTATTCCACTTCTCCCTCACTCTCATCATAATAATCCAGATTGTCCTCAGTGTAGTCACTTCCTGGGGCTGCCGTAGGGCCGAAGGACCGCTCCGGGGGAGGTGAAGGGTGGGCTTTGGTAAGGTCTCCTCCAAAGGTGGCTGGCCTGATATTGTCCAGTGGGGAGGAGCTGCCGATATGAAAAGCCCACACTCCAGGAACCCCTACGTTGCTCTGTCTAAATTAAAAGGAAACAGTGCATGACACAAGTGTCCATTTACCCACCATCCCACAACAGTGAGCAATTTATCATAAAACTGAAAGGCTATTAAGATCAGATTCAGAGTTTTCACTAGTATAAAACCAAATAAAAACCAGGCCTACATGCTAACTAAAAGGAGTATACTGGAATTTTGACATAAACTACCTCTTATTTAACATTAGGTTTCAGAATGCTAGACCATCAAATTAGAAATCTGCTCTAAAATTCACGTTTTGTCTAAAATCTGGTTATTTGAAAACAAATAGGGAATGTGGGAATACTTTATACTTTCTCTACTTTTAACACACTCAGGAAAATGTATGCTTAAAAACCTTTGCCAAACACTTAAACAATAATGACTAGAACATACTTCTGAGACTTAGTCATGTACCAAATGCTTAATGTTCTTCGATACAGTCTGCAAGGTAGGGGCAGTGATCGTACCCAATTTTACGGAGGAGAAAATGGGTTTAGAGGGGCTAGCTAATCTTAAGGTCATACAACAAATAATTGGCAGAGCTTGGACCTGAATTCAGCACTGACACCAAAGCCCATGCTCCAAACATCTACATTATGTCAAAAAAACCAATATACTGAATTATCAGCATCTGAATTATCATTGATCTACACAATGTTACAGACAGTTCCCTGTTCAATCACATGGATTAATCAATTAACTAACTGACATACAATGGCGAGTTGATGTAAAAAAAAAAAACTCAAAGAAAAATAAATGCCCACGTCTAAAAAATGTTGAGCAAGTCAGAACAAAGTTAAGGGGAATATAAGAAGGCAGTTTAGTCAAAATGCCATGGGTTATAGGTGAGAGGTGTTCAGAAACATCTGGAACCAGAGAGCTCATGCATTTTCTTTCCTAGAAAAGAACATGGACCCCATTCAGTCTTCCAAATGTTCCAGTGATGCATTATTTTAGTCAATGATACATTCTAAAGAGAACAACTACATATAAGATTTCCAAAAATTAAAAAAATAAACTTTGAACAAACAAGGGTCTGGCTAGCTTGAATGCACCACTTTCTATATTTCTCTGGTAATGTGCAGAATACCAGGCTCAAAGTCCCCCATCTGGGATTTCCTCAAAAGTCAGTCAGTGAAGTGTAAGAGTTAAAGACTAATAAGATAATAAGAAATTTATCCAAGCATTATAAGAACAAGAGACTTTTGCTGATTTGGGTAGGTACTGATCACATTCACATGGATTCCTATAGCAGTAGTATTTTTCAACACAATTCTGAGAATGTCTCTTTCCCTCCTTTCTTCTCTTCACCTCTCCCTCCCTCCACCCCCACCTCTCTCTCTCTCTCTCTCTCTCTCTCTCTCTCTCTCGTGTGTGTGTGTGTGTGTGTGTGCGCGCATATAGTTGTTTCTGCTGCTATTATAGTTACTTTGAGGAAAGAGGAGCAGAGAAAGCAAAACCATGATCCTTTGTGCAACATGCTATGTATACTTGGTATGTTCTAAGATTTAATGTTGGTGTTTTTTGGAAGCAAATAAGGAACACTTTAGTAAAAAGGGAGAGTCCTGAAGATCTGAGGATACTGCCTTTATTATCACATCAGAGGTGTTGCAGCTGTGAAATTTCTTCTTGAAGTTAGAGAAAACTATTAAAGCTTCAAAGAGTAGGAAAATACAAATTCTGGCAGAAAGAAACTAAGTAATATAACCTTCTAATGAAATATAAATCACTACCTTGGCTTTTGTCATCGTGCGTGGAGAAGTAACCAATTTGAGTTTATCCTAAAATTCGAGGTCATCTGGAAAGCTTGGTGATAGAATTTATTTTCTAGAAAGGAAAACAAGGCTACAAAATGGGATGACAGTGCCTTCCTCCCTGGGTCGTTAGGAGGAGTAAGTAAGAAAGCCACATAAAATGCCTAGCATGAGGCTCTGCACATAATTAGTACTTAGTAATTACAATTTGTCTTCGAGGAGATAGAAAAGTATAATCTCGAAAAATACAAATGGGTAGATTCACATTTAAATTGCCAGAAAAGAAGTTATGCCAAATCCACTATGAATTACATAATTTATTACCTTTAAGCTTACAATTATGAGACAAATGTGAGGAAGACAAAGATTCTATTGACTAGGAAAATAACTTTATTCTTTAGAGATGCACGCTGAAGTATCTAGTATTTAGTATGAGCATGATGTTGGTAATTTACTTTAAAATTCTTAAGCAAAAAAAGTGATGAATATTGGCAAAATGTCAACAACTTCTAAATCTAAGTGTTGAGCTTTTGGGCATTCATTCAGCTATTCCCTCCACTCTTCTGTGTATTTTTGAAAATTTAAATAGTGAAAAGTAAAACAGAAGATCAAATCGGGGAACATTTCTACAATTTGGAGGTAGAGAAGACCTTCCCAAGAATAACAAAGATCTAAAATCATAAAAGAGCAATAACTTTGCCAACCCTAAACTTACAGCTGCTAGATGGTAAGAAACTTTAAAGATGAACGACTGGACAAAATTATTCACACCGTATAAGAGGATTAATTTCCTCACCATATTTTTTCTTATTTATAAGAGCTCTTTGGACACACCTGGACAGAAAATAGCAAAGGACAGGGGCAGAGAAGTCACGAAGATAGATAAATGGCCATTAAACATACGAAAAGGTGTTTGGTTTCACTAGTAATCAAGTAAATTAAGAGTGAGAGTATGAACATTTGACACCAACCAGATTCACAAATACCGAAAAGAAAAGAAGCTGCCGATCACAGCTCTATCTTATTGGTGAGAACATAAACTGGACACTTCTGAAGGGCAGTGTGTTCATGTTTGTCAAAATGTTTGACTAAGTATAGCTTTTCTTGGCAATTCTACTCTCAAGAAGTTATCTTTCATGGAAATGAGAATCCAACCAATGTGTCTTATGCTGTTTACTGCAATGATATTTATAAAAAGAAAATAAAAAGACAAGTTAAATGTTCATCAATAAGTTATTATCTTAATAGTATATAAATATGACACGATGTTTTGTAGCCTTAAGATAATAAAATGAACATCTTCCTGAATGATACCTCTAAGACAGTGATAAGTGGGAAAATGTCACACGTATAGCAAAAGGACCATATTGGTTTTAAAAAGTTCTTGCATTCTAGAATGACTACAAATACTGGCTAGCACTTGACGTGGTGATGGTGGGTAATTTGTACTTTTATTTTGCATTATTCTGCTTTCTTTTTTATGATAAACATGGGTTATACTAAGAAAAAATCCCTCTGTCAGTCCCATGTCTTCTGTCCTCGTCAAGCAACTCAGAGGTATCTAGGAAGCATCAAAGATAAACGGACACAGGCACGGAGGAAGGTACATGGGGGTGCTGTGTGTGACCCGTTCATCTGTCCACCCTACCAGAGTGCAGGCAGCTCATGCGCAGGGCCTGTGCCTCAGATACCTTTGTATTTCAAGTGCTTGGCCCATTGTGATCTCTCAATAACGTCTGAGGAGTAGAGAATCTGGGGGCTCCAGAGTGGAAGAGGAAAGTGGAACCAGAGGAGAGAAAGCAAGGAGCTCAGTTTTCTCACATCTGGACTTAAAGGCAGCCTGGAAGGAGACCTAAAGATGCCCAAGGTGGGTCCTAAGACTGGGAAAGGAGACCAGGCTTCGGCACAAAAGAAGTAGTTTGGGTTTTCAGGCTTGTGCTTGAATTTTTGCCACTGAGTAACTTCGAGGTCACAGGCAACTTAACTTCCCTAAACTCATTTGTCAAATTGAGAAAACAATAAAACTTACCTCCTAGGATTCTTGTGAGTTTTAATTAAGATAACTTCTGGAAAGTGTTTTACACAGTGTTTGGCAAATAATAAGCTCTCAATAAATGTCAGCTCTAGGTAACCATATTTGGTGGTAGGGCCTGCTCCCTGGCAGCTGAGCAAAGCAGATGGCACGCAAAAATGTAAGGGCTTCCAGTGCCCAGGAATAATGTAATGGAAGGGAGAAGCAGTTAGGCAAGGCTAAGTAACCAATGTATTCTGCCTGGCTTCTAGACCAGGATTTGGGAAAGGAATAAAAGCAAAGATCTTTTTTCACAAGCCCTAAAATTAATAAATCTCAACTGGTGCTAACCCAGATATGGTGCTATGTGGACTGACAAACAGCAAAAGGGGCTTATTATTATGCTAGCAGGGTAAGCCTCTGATGGGTCACAGGAATGTGCTGGCTACCTCATGGAAAACCAACCAGTATGGTTTCAGTTAATGAAGCCATACAGAAACCCTGAGACCTCTAAATGCTATCCATGTGTCTGGTTTTCCCTTTTCCCCAAATTACACTATTCTTGATTTAACTTTTAACATGTATCTGTCTAAAAGACTAATTCACAACATCTCCTCCTTGTGAAATGATTAACCTGGAAAAATCTCACTCTGGGCAGTTATATTACTGGATATTTTTATGTGGCTCCAAGAGCAATGTTTTTCATAGCAAGTCTCAGTGGCTGTGCAAACATATACACACTGTTCTGTTTCCGGTATCTATACCCAAGAGGGCAGGAAGAATAAAGGGTCTTTTATATTTTGGTGAATTTGCTCCTCTCAGGGTCTAATGTGGTGTGTGGTTTTGACCAGACCTTAGAAGCCACCAAGATATTATTTAATGGTCTTACGGCTACTCGAGTTTGGGTAGCTCCGAAGGGTCCTTACATCAGACAGGGAAGGGCTTACTTACTGGTAGAGATTTTTCACAGACTGTTCAGTGCTAGTCAAGCTGAAATAGGGTCCCTCTCTCTTCAGGTCATCGATCTCCCCTCGGCAGAAGCCCACCCGAGCGGGAAGCTCGAGCTGCACGTTGTAAGACTCCTTGGGGCGGGTTCCAAAGAACTGAAGGCCATTGGCAGGGTAAAGAAAGAGGGCGTAGGTATCAGACTCATCAGATGCCAAAACTGCCTGGAAAGTGTTCAACTATGAAAAACAAAAAATAGGAAATAATCTTAATAAAACAAACAAGAAAAAACAGAATGCAAGCAAAGCATCAAAGTACAAGGGTCTTCCCCCTTCTCAGAACTCCTCCAAATTGCTTTTATGCATTTTATTTTTAATTTCCTCTTCAAGTTGTAATTGTGTAAGCCATATTATTATCATAATCCTCCTTTATCATTTCATACTTGAAATATGCGAAGGTAAGAACCACAGGTTACAAAAATAATGTTTTTAAGGTTTCAAACTTCTCTCATCCAAACCTCTTTAAGAGCTAAGAGCAAGTCCAAAATTAACCTGTATATTCCCACAGCCGCTGCCCTAGTTTACGGCCCTGGGCACTCATGTGGATCATTCATTCATTCATTCACTCACCTGTTTACTGAACGCCTATTATGGGCAGGCACGGTGTTAGCCATTGGCTGATCAAAAGGCCTCCTTACTGTTCTCACAGTCTTGCTCTCTTTTCTCTTTCGTCTGCCTTTTCACACCAGCACCTGAGTTACCCAACCCCCTTTCACAGACCAGGAAGCAAGACATGGGGGCTAACAGATCCGCCTAAGGTCAGGTAGCTGGTACGTGGTGGCAGGCCAGCCCGCTCCAGAGTCCATGCCCTGCACTGCTAGTCCACCCCAACTACTCCTTAGCATCCCATTCCAGGGGGTTTATAACTGCCCCGAACTCTTTTCCCAGGTTTAGATCCACTGCATCTTCATCAGACTAGGTCATATTCCCCCCACCCCCACCCCCCGTGCCATGTACTTTAATGCTTCTGTATTTTTGCTCATTTTTCCCTGTGCCAGGAAACCCTCCTCACCCTCTAATGCTGCCCTTCTGAGGTATTCTATGATTCCCTGTAGATTTATTTCTGTTCTCTGACCGTCCATAACACCGGGTGTTTCTGGTTAGCATTCCAGTTACCATCCCTGGTTAGCGGTTTGTTTGTAAACTCCACTTATTAATAATTCACTTGCACCTTAATTCAGCCAAGTGCCTACTAAGCTAGACATTATGCTTGGTGCCGAAGGAAAAGGGACCGAAGGAAGGGAGACTCTGCCCGGGACAGTCTCACACTTAGAAGGGAACAGCCATGGCTGGCATTTAGGAGAGTTGGCGGAGAAGACAGCGGAGGCCAGAGAAGGGCATGTGAGACGTCAGGCTTAGGTGCGGAGGCGCCCCACAGAGGTGGCCTGTGAACGTTCGTAAACACAGGAGGAGCTAAGCAGACCAGAGTGAGAGACCAGGAGTCTGAATTAGCCGCAAACTCAGCACCCAGGCCCTCATAAAGTCACTCCTTAAAGTTCAATTTACTCTTGTATTTTCAGCCAGATAGTTTTTGCCTTTACCTATGTAATGCTACCTCCACCCACACCCCCATATGATCTGTTAGTGGTACTTCCTTATCTTAAAAAAGTATTATATTTAGGACTCTGAGAACTCTTTCTCTAAGTCCCCCTCTTTTTATAATTTGGTAGGGACCTGGGAGCTATTTATAAATACTACTACTTCCTAAATAATGTGACTCTTAGAAATATTATTTACTGGTAAACGGTATCATTTCTCCATTTTGCTAGACAGACAAAAGTAGGCACAGAGAAGAACATCACATCTTACTAAATAAAATAGCAAACAACAGGAAAATGTCCTGCATTTGGTTCTGTCCTGGGCCCTTCCCCATATGGTGCTCAGACTCTTCCAATGTTTATTCTTCCTTTCAGTGCTTAATTGCAAAGTATAGTTTTGACCCTTGGCTGATAACGCAAATTAATTCAGGTGTTAAATGCTTTTCAAGAAAAAAAGCACACAACCTTTCTTTTTGCTAACATAGAAACACTTACCTTATTTCGCTTTTTTTCCTTTTTTAAAGATTTATTTTTAAGTAATCTCTGCACCCAACATGGGACTCGAACTTACAACCCCGAGATCAAGAATGACATGCTCTACTGACTAAGCCAGCCAGGCACCCCTGCTTTCTTTCTTGAAGCTCACATACTTCAAGATGGCGGGGGTTGGGGGGCAGTATATTTGTTATATTTGCAGTTGTTGATTGTTTCATCAGCAAAGCTTGCCTGTTCCAGAAACAAAAGGCAAAGGATGTTTTCTAGAATTTCTCAAACTAGGAAACCGTAACTTCTGCCAAATGTAAACAAAGCCTCTTCTGCATCATGTCTATACATAATATATACTACGTCATCGATTAACGTTGATTCCATAACGTCAGAGTACTCCTTTAGTCAGAATCAACAAAATTCAGCTCGGGGAAAGGAAAAGTACTTGAGCAAAGAGAAAGGACCTGTTGTAACAAGCTGGGCTTTCAAAGCTCCTGGCATTGATTACTTACAACAAATGTAAGATAGGAAGAATCCTGGTTCTAAGTTTAGAGAAATCCTGTTAAGATAAGGAGGAGGGGGGGTCCCACAGATTGTGAGGGAACTGAAGGGGATGGGGGAGGAGGGGAGGGAGAAAATAAACAGAGCTGTGAAGGGGAGTGTCTGGCTTTTACTGTGGAGTCTGGGAATTTAGCACTTTATTTTATTCATTCTGTCAGTCAATAAATTCATTTCGATGAAAATTTATTCAGTGCCTTTTATATGCCATCCCTGAGCCAAGCACTTACTATACAGGTGGCAAGGCTTTATTTAATTTACTTGTCTCTACTGACATAGGCAAAAAGGAGGATTTTAGATAGAATTTATGATCCCAAAGTACAGGCCAAAAGAGTTTGGCTGTTTAAAAAAAACCACCCACACACCAAATGATCACTTTTAAAGTTCTCTCTCTTGGCTCTACAAAATTCTACATCTAACTGCTAAAGAGCACACTTCACGAAGTCCTGAAGGACTCCTCCTCCCAAAGCACTCCTCGACTAGCTTCCAGACCGGAAAGGTCTTCACATTCCTGGAGACGAGCGCTTTTGCAAGAACCGCACATGCTCTGTCTCTGAATTTAAACCCTCAGATGGGCTGCCAAACCCCACAAAAGGGTCACCGGTTCCCAACTTCCTCAGGATCCCAGGGAGGAGAGAGGGGCCTCCATGGGAAGATGAACAGCACAGAGAGGATCAGGGCCAGGGGCTGCCTGGCTTCAAGGTTTCTGCCATCCTGTTATCCGAAAGAGAGAAAAGCCAGAGTTGTCAGCAGAAACCAGGCAGGCTCCGACTCTCCCTCTCAGGTATGGGACATCACCAAGCAATGCTGACTTGACACTCGGCAGAGCCAGGCTGATGGATACAAAACATGCCCCTCTACAAGCTTCTAAATTTGCAATTCATTTAATTAATTTCAGCCATGTAGCGAGGAAACAGAAGAGTGCCAGCCTTGTCCCAAACGGGTTTGCCTACAGAGAAAATGAAGAAGTAGGGTGACTCTTACAGGGGTCACAAAGTTCTCTTTCCTGTCTTCCTTGGGATCACATACTCTCCACCGTGGTGATATCACTGACTTCTGGCCACCAGGGTTTGGGTTGAGCCCTAACCTCCACTCCTTAATATACTTCCCCATCTCCCAGCCCCTGTAGGTCACTGTCACAGGCCTGATCTTCTCTCATTCATTGGTATGCCCTAAATCCTACAGATCCTGCCCCAAATTCAAAGATCGGTGCTCTAGTCTCTAAGGTAACATCCTTCCTGACACTTAGTCTTTAGCGAAACTTAAGCATTTCATTAACCAATTTCCATGTATGTCTCTATTTAGTACATCTTCATAGTATATTTTAGCCTCAGGTTAAACGTCTTCAGATAGACCCCAGACCTCCCCTCTTCCGGACCTGAGCTCCAGAAGTCAAAAAGCTACAACAAAGTCCTTCTTTTACCTCTCCTCCTCTCTGTGGATTCGCCCCCCTCCGTCAACAACAGTCGTCCTTTGAAATAAGTCAATACACCTTAGTCCCCACATTGAGGCTCCACGACTCCCCTCATCCATGTCTCCTACCTCAGCTCTCTCAGCCTGCTCCCAGGACAAGGCCTTGCTCAGAACAATTTCTCCTGCTGCCTTCTTCTCAAGATCCATTCTTTCAGCCCTTCTGGCTCAACTTAAATTCCAGGTCAAAAAAATAAAAAACATCTCCCATATCACACAGATTTGTGTGACCCAGTTCTCCACAGCTCCCATCCATCAAACAACAACAAAACAATTCTCCCCCTCCCCCAAAAACCACAGCTGAAGTAAACACTAGTCCTCTTTATGTCTCCGTCAACAAGTTCTTTGAAGGTCAATACCATGACTTCTTTGCCCGATAAAGTACCTATGACAGCTGAGGAGTCTCAGATTAACTGAATTGATAAACACTATTTGTTCTTTTTTTTTTTTTTAGAGAGCGAGTGCACCACCCTGCCCCCCACCCCAGCAAGCCAGGGGGAGGGAGAGAATCTTAAGCAGGCTCCACGCCCAAGGCACCCAACACAGCAGATCTCACGACCCTAAGACCAAGACCTGAGCCCAAATCAAGAGTCGGACACTTAACCAACTGAGCCACCGAGGCACCCCATATTTCTTCACTTTTTTTTAGTTGTAGTTACACTTTGCCATTCCTGCAACATCACATACAACATCCTGTCATACCCATCATGAATATCCATGGAGAGAAAGGGCAACAACTGAAAGAGTTTTAAGTGGTAAAGATGCCATTCCGCTGATATCTTCAAGTTTCCAGTAACTTTGCAACATCGGGTTAGTGTGTGAAGGTTTAAGCCACGAAGAACTCACACAGCCCTTCATGCAAGGCAGATTACTGTTTGCCAATATCTATCTCCAAAGAATTATTAAAATAACTCAAATCACAGGGCTCTTTAAAGTATTCAGAAGAATCTTCAACGTGGGTAATTGAAAATACATCCTCTCTCCAAACAGGACCCTTATCTCCTTTCGAAATGAAACAAATTCTGAAGCCAACTCAGCATATGGCAATGTCTGAAGAATGATTTTAACTAGAAGAGAGATGGAATCTACAAATCCTCCTGTACTTCCCACCCAAAAGAGACCAGACAGAAGTTGTAGTTCAGAAAACCTAGTATTTAAAGAGTCCTTATGCAAAGGCCTTACATCACAGTGTCCTTACAAGATAGAGGAATTTAAAAACCAGAATCTTCCTATCAAGCCAACATGGAGGAGCACAGATTGGCTGAGCATCCACACCCACTACGTCTAAAAGAATACAGTGACCCCTACTTAAAAATGCCACCTTAGTTAATTCTGACAACAATCCTGTAAGGTAGGCATTGCTCCCCCATTTTACAGGTTAGGAAACAATGAGGCCGAGTCATTGCTTCCAAAGTCACTGGATAACCTTTCATAATGCACATCTTCTTTCAAAATGTTTTTATATTGTCATGGTCTTCACAACCACCCTGAAAGTTGGATGAAAGAGTGGTATTCCCATGCTACAGATGAAATTGAAACAATAATTAACAAAGTCACCGTGTCTGTATAATTTTTGGTTTCAAATAAGCTGTGAAAAGATGGAATCTTAAAAGTTCTAGTGTGATTTCACCATCCCAGCCCGTCTGTGTAACTGCTCGTCTCCGATTCATCTCACTCAACTTCATCCTTATTCTGTTAAAACAGTAAGACAAATGCAGCTGAATTCTCTTCAGAGCCCACAAGCTGGGGCGGGGGGGGGGGGGGGGGGGGGGGAGGGGGGCAGAGGGAGAAAGAGGGAAGCAGACTCCCTGCTGAGCAGGGAGCCTGACACCAGCCTTGATCTCAGGACCCTGAGATCATGACCTGAGGGGAAAACAAGAGTCGGTTGCTTAACCACTGAGCCACACAGGCACCCCTGATTTTAAATAAGTTTTTTAACCTTATATAAAAATGAGTGAATGAGTGAATTAATGAATGCAACATAATTCATCTTTCTCCAACCCTCCACCTAGCCCAATGCCCTACACAAAGGCCAATATATTTGTTTGACTTGAATGTATTCTGCTGAACTGAATCACTGAAATATCAAACCCACATCTGTAAAAAAAACTACTCAAGAAAAAAACTAAATGCTGCCTGACAAAAAATGAATGTCAAAAAAAAATTCAAATATCTTTTATTTCCAGATCTTCTTTGAATAGCCATTTGGGACTATTTCTCTTACAGAACACAAAACAAGAATGGCCACCATCTTGAACTACTCAGTGAGAGCGGGTAAACTGCTTAATCTTTCAGCGAGGATATGTGCCATCTTTCTATAGCGAAGAAACACTATGATGAGTGAAATAGAGATAAATTATAAGAGTTTCAGCCCTTTGAGTATGAAATTTTTTCTCAAGATTTTATTTGTTTATTTGACAGAGAGAGAGAGAGAGAGAGACAGCGAGCATAAGCAGGGGGAGTGGCAGGCAGAGGGAGAGGGAGAAGCAGGCTTCCCGCTGAGCAGGGATGTGGGATGTGGGACTCGATCCCAGGACCCTGGGATCATGACCTGAGCCAAAGGCAGGTGCTTAACCGACTGAGCCACCCAGGTGCCCCTGAGTATGAAATTTAAATTCAGGTCTTATTTCACAGGAGGAAGCCCTTACCTATTCCAGGAATGAAGAAGGTTACCATTTGCCAAGCCACCCTGGTCCCACCTGATGTCCATTTGGAGTTCTTTAAATGTTGCTGCCAAGCCTACAGGGCTGGGAGCTCGGGTTGTTTTACCTTCTCAAGTAGAAACTATAAAACAAATGGAGGACAGTCCCCTATAACCCAGGGAGCATGTAAACTGATGTTTGTAGGGCAATTTGGCAAAAGCTATCAAGAACCTTATAAACTGGGTCCTCTCTGGCCCACCAGTTCCACTTCCTGGAATATCAAGTAAGGACATGTGGAAAGATTTAGCTAAAAAAAAAAAAAAAAAAGTGCTTCACAAAATTATTTATAATGATGAAAAATTGGAAATAACCTTAATGACCACTGGACACGGTGGTAAATTCAATGGGTGGAATATTATGCAGATATTATAAATGTTGTAGAAACATACTGAGTGACAAGGAAACATTCACAATATACTACTGAGTGAAAAAAAATAGTTTACAAAACAGTATGTGCAGTGCGAACCCATTAGTGTTAATAGACAGTGACAGATAAATACAGATATTAATAGGAAAAAAACTTCTGGAAGATATAAATGAAAATGTTTAACAGTGATTATCTTTGAGTGGTAGGGAAATGAGTGAGTGGTTGTTCTTTCTTAAATTGCCTGTATTTGCTGATGTTTTCCCTTCAATGAACATATAATTAGAAATAATTCTTATATACTTAGAGGTGATTCTAAAAATAAACAACCAAACAGTGAACTGCCTTGTGTTCTGAGGGCCTTCCGCATCTGCACTGGGGCCCTCATACCCGATCCTTGCTAGAAGTGGCCATCTCTCAGATCCTTAGAGGACGGCCTGGAGAAAAGAGCCTTCTTCACTTCGAAGCCACGTCAGCCCTGGTGCCACCAAAGGGTACATCAGGTTCAGCACGAGAGCCAACTCAGAAGAAACTCCAAGCCAGTCCCTGGGCTCCAGCCCAGAATTCAAACCCATCCCTCCATTGGCTCGGCGGCCAAGCACCCCTGGTCAGTTACCTGTCCTGAGGGCGGCACCCGGCTGCTGGCCTCCTCGTAGGCGCCCACCTGCTCCCAGGTGGCCACGAAGGCGTGGGTGGGGGTGAAGTGCGCCGCGCTGCGCGGGAAGCCTGCGCGCACGTAGCGGGCGGCCAGGCCCAGCACCGCCAGGGACGTGTCCTCACGGTACAGGACCTGGCCCCTGCCCCGGCTCGTGTCGATGTCCGCCAGGAAGGGGGCAATGGCCGGAAAGTCTGTGGGGAAATCATCGTCCACGTACTGGGTTTCCCTAGGGAAGTCCTGAGTGGAGATGATACCGTTGGTGCCCACCTGTGGGAGGAGAGGGACAAAAGGTGACGGTCGCGTACGCGGCAGGACGCCCTCGGGCGGCCACCCGGCTACGCATGGAGGGAAGGGAACCGCCCGGGACTTGAAGCTGCCCCTTCCCTACCCGCTGGGAACCCGATTCCTGATTCAGGGCGACCAGCGCGACTTCAGCCCGCGTGCCGCCCGCCACCCCTACTCCACAGCGCGGTGCGATGGGTCCAGGAGCCCTAAAATTCCTGGTTCACGTATCTTCTCACTTCCCGCACAACGCTGGAGAAAACCTCCGGGTCCGAGGAGGGAACGCACTAGCTCTGCAGACGTGCACAGCCTACTCGCCGTCCCTACTGCAAACCCCACTGGCCGCCCCAGCATCCCCACCTCCTTTTCTGTCGGGGACGCTTATGTAGCTGCGAATGTGTGGGTCTGAATTCTCGCTCTTCCTCTCGAGGTAAAGAAAAGCAACTCAGACATCAGCATCGCTGCAGAGCCACGTCCCACCCCAGGGGCGCTCGGGGACTGCCCGGCGTGAGGACTATTTCCTCCCCTTGGAAGGCAGGGATTCGGTGAGATCCACACTACATCGGCCCGTGGGAAGAAGCTGCGAGAACTCTGCCTGTTCCCACACCAAGCGGGGACTGAACTTACGTAGAGGTAGCTGAACTGGGCTTCGTAGAAGCGCAGGGGACTCGCCAGCTTCACCGGGGCTGAGCTTTCGTCGTCGCCTTCCTGCAGGAGCTGGTTCCCCCGCGACTGCCCGTAGGGGAAGAGCTCGTCTGGGTGCAGCGCCCCGGCCCGGGACAGCAGCAGCAGCAGCAGAAGTGGCGGCGGCCGCAGCGATTGCAACGCCAGTCGCCGGGCTGCCCGGTCCCCCCGCATGCTGGCTCGGCTCCTGGGCTGCCCGGCGGCAGAGCGCGTCCCGGCCCGGCCCGCCAGCCCACTAGCCGCGCCGCGCCAGCCTCCAACCTGGATCCCCGCGGGCGCCCGGGCCTGCCGGGCCTCCGGGCCCTCCCAGCGCGCTGACTGGCTGCGGCCCTCGGCCGGGGACCAATCACCGGCTCGGGGAAAGTTCGACAGCCGCGGCCACATCTGGTTCTTGTTAAAAGTGTTCTAAGGCAGCGGTCGCGGGAGCGGCGGGGCAGGCGAGGTAGAAGCCTCCGGCCACGGCTGCCCGGAGTGCTGCTCCGCCTCCGCCTCCGCCCCCGCAGTCCGAGAGCGGCCGGGCTCGCTCCCGCCCTCCTGCGGGGACTGCTCCGCGGGGTCGGCGAGCCCCTCCCCCCGGGACCAAACTGCCAGCGAAGTCCGAGGGCAGCGACGCGGCAGGAGAGGACCTCAGCGCCAAGGGGGAACCCCGCAGCGGCGTGTGCTGGCTGGCGCGACGCGCCCCGCCAGGCTGGCAGGGCGAGGGTGTGGTGGGGGGGTCCCGGGCGCCCCTCGCTCTGGAGGCATTGTCGCAACAGCAGCTCCCTTGCTCCACCCAGAGACGCCCTGCCGAGAAGCGCGCTTTTGTATGAAGCCGGAATGATTGTGGCGGGGGGTGTCCAATTCCTAAGTTCCGACCCCCATCCAAAGACTACCTCCTGGGAAGACTGGGCTACCCGCCGAAATGCCCACAGGTCTGGGTCTGGGTCAAGAAAGCGCTGTGTACCTTTCCCAGGGAAAACGGGACCTGGAAGGACCATGAAACACTACTGTGTATGATCGGCTCCATGCGGGGCATGGAATGAAGCATCCCATTTGGGCACCAAGCGGAAATGGGTGAGGCGCCAGGGTGGGGGTACCTTGGGTCTCTCACCCGCTGCCTTGCGGGCATCGGGACTGCCCTTGCGGTGGGCAAGGGGGTGGTAACCTGAGCCGCTCCCTGGGACTGGAAACCAGCTGCTAGATGTGGGGGAACCCCATCCACCAACAAACAACCCCTCTGTGAAGCATCAGGAGCCAGACGAGATTTTATTACCACTTTTATTATCAAGAGCTTGAAATTTCCCAGATCATCTGTTTTCCCTCTCTAGCCCCCATGGGGTCCTTGGAAGCAAAGGTATTTAAAAAGAAGGAAAAAAAGCAAGCCTGTGGAAATGCCTTAAGGGATGTTCAAAAGACAAATTTCTTTTTGTGGGTGTTTATTCCAGTAACAAATCCTTCTGGGCCCACAGGGCCAAGCCCTGAAAACTTTGAAGATACCAGATTGTGAGACTCACAGTATCAGCACAAAATGGAAAACTGGCCCAAAGCAGTTTGCTTCCTCTGACTGTGAAGAGTTGCATGCTTGTTACAAAAGTGTATTTGTGTTTGCCCATATGTGTTCTCATTTCTATGGGAGATAGATATTTTCACTGTACTGAGGAAGAAATGAAGGCTCAAAGACATGATGTGATTTGACCTAGGCAAGGTCACCTAAAGTTACTCTTTGATATAAAATCCTGCACTGGCTTTCTCTAGGTTTTCCCAGTCTCTCAATTGAGCATAATAAAAAAAAGCTAACATTTATTTGGTGGTAATATAAGCTATCAGCTACTAATATAAGCTACCAGCGATAGGCTAGTGGCTTAAAATGACTCCCAAAGATCCCCGTTTTATGGTGTTCATTCCCTTGTATAATCCCCTTCCCTGGAGTGTGGGCTGGTCTAGTGACTTAAAACCTATAGAATGTGGCAATAGTGACAAGAAGTCACTTCAGTGATTAAGCTACATCTGTCTTGGTCACAGACCCTCTGTCACTGACTGATGACACAAGCTGTTATGCTGGGGAGGCCCATATGGCAAGGAACTAAGGGCCGGCTCTGACCAATGGCCAGCGAGGCACCGAATTCTGCCAATAACCATGTAAGTGAGCTTGGAAATGGATCCTTCTCCAGTCCTGTCTTGAGATAATACCTCATCTCTGGCTGATACTTTGATTGCAGCCTTGTGGGAGACCCTGAAGCAGAAGACCAGATCTAGACCCACAGGAACTGTGAGAACTTAATAAGTGTGTGTTGTTTTAAGCTATTATGGTTTGGGATAATTTCTTATGCAGCAATAGATAAGTGATACAGCTAGACACTGTGCTAAGGAAACCAAGACTTAGAGGAATTAAAAAAAAAAAAAATCAGTTAGTTACATGACTTGTAAGTACCAGAGCTGGGATTTGAACTCAGATTTGAACTAATCTGTCTGGTTTCTAAACCTCTGCTCTGAAGCAGTAAATCATATTGCCACAAGGTCCTTTGCGAGGCTGTTCTAGCCTGCCTCTCTAACTTCAGCTCTGGCCACAGCTACCGTTTCAGTTGCGACTTTAGTTCTCAAATGCAACCTTCTATTTTATGGCGTGGAACACCTTCACATGCTAGTCCCTCTACCTATAATGCTTTTCCCAATCAGTCGCCTCTAGCCAACACTCATTCATCCTTCAACACTTGAATAAAAAATCATTCTCTTTCCAGAAGTTTCCTGGAAACCACAGTCAGATTGAGAACCCCATGTGTCCTGTGTGTGCCATTATCATATTGCCAATCCCACCGTATGTCCCCTAATCCCTGACTGCCCCATGTCTCCCTCACCCCTACCGCCACACCTTGAGGGCAGGGACTTTGTTTTACTCGGGGCCTGCCGCAATGCTTGCCTGGCTCATCCGGAGAAACTAGAGAAATGTTTGTTGAATGAGTGAAAGCAAGCAAACCAGCCTGGGGCTAAGATCCATGTCTGCTGACACAAAAGAAACATTCTTTCCCCGACACCACCTTTCCTGCTAATCTGACCTGAGTTTCGGACTCCTCTTTAACCAGGCTACAGAGCAGCTCCCCTTCCACTGTTTTCCAGTTTGGGTCATTCTTTCATTCATCCATCCAACAACTATTTCCTGCAAGTTTACCATGACAAACACAACTCGGCAAGACACAGTGGAGCATAATGGGTGACCCCTGACCTCAAGAAACTCTTGAGCTGGTGGGGGAGGGGGGAAACGAAGCAATAATCTGACAAAGCAGCCACGTCACAACGAAGCACAGATTCAGCAGCACAACAAACAAAAAGAGCTATCGCCCTCAGAGGGTGTCACCAGTTCCGAATTGGACGCGGAGTACAACGAAGTAGATCCGATAGGGCAGGGGCTGAAATGAGCAGTGCTGGCTCCCCCAGCTGCTTAAAGTGGCCGAATTCTTCTTGAAATACGAGGCTATAGACAGTTGAGCAGACATTCCTTTGACCTCTTATTCTAATATTATTTTTAAAAGACCATGGCACCCAGTGGTTTCTCCCTTAAAACGTCACTCTGTGTCTTCAGGAAAAGAAAAAATCTGTCATAGTAATTTCCCCGGTCAAAGTAAATACTGGGGAAATACTTCTCTTGTAACCAGTCCCAGAGTAGAATTTCCGTGACTTGCCAGACTGGCTGAAGAGGCAGAGGCCCCTTTGGGGTTGGCAGTTCTAAGAGGACCTCTGTAGACATCTTAGTCCTCTTGGATTGCATCTGCATGGTAGCTCCGAGCATTAGTTAAGAGGTCAGATGATTCAGGTACAGAACTTTTTATCCCAAGCCAGGAATGGTACCAGACGCCTTGCCAATAGACCTTGTCAAGAGTCTCCACAGTTATATTTTTGTGTGTGTGGTTATATGTCTGTTAGAAATACCGAGACTTCAAGAATGATGATACTTCCTGTTATTTTAATCAAGAGAATGAAAACACATTTGCTCCACAGTGTGACAAATAGATGTGGGGATTCAAGAGCAAGTTCTATGTATAGCCCTGACTGGTATGTGTGTGTGTTTGTACTGGAGGTGGGCTTGGCAGAAAATGTTCTGGTTCTTGTTGCGCACAGTGATTCTTTGCATAACTTTACTATCCATTAAATTCCAGGGTGGGTATATTAGCATGTAGAAAAAAAACAGGGCTGTGCAAATTAGCACGTCTCCGCAGACTTAGGCTTAATTGAAATTGTTAGGCCTAAGAAAAACCATGCACTGCTTAGAAGTTCTGAGTAGTGCTTGGGATAGATTTGGTGGGATCCCTTTACATTCTAATGACCTCCAAATATATCCCAAGCCCTAGGCTTTCACTTGAGCTTTTCATTTATATCCCTCCCCAGGTGGGATGACATATCAAACCTACTTCCAGAATTAGATCCACTACTCAGAATTTCTGAGTTTTCAGTTTTTGCTGATGGCAGCAATAGCCACTCCTTCTTGATTACCATTGCCCTGTTTTCTGGTCCTTGTCAGGCTCTCACCCACTAGCCTTTTGTGGCAGAAACAATAGGTTAGCTACTCAACCCATATTCCCAATCTCCTCCCTCGTGTGAATCCACCACAGACGGAAGGAGATGAGTGGTGCTCTCCCAGGTTCTCTTGCAGAGTCACCATCTAATGGAGTCCTGGCCAAACCACTAGCAGCATGCAGAAAGGCTGGTGATTTGCTCTTAACTTGGTGATTTCTGGGGATAGTTGTATCTTTCTCCATTCTTGCTGCCTTACCTGTGGATGTGTTGGTTTGAGCTTGGACAATCCTCTTCTGACCGTAAAGTGACAACTTTGAGGACAAAAGCCTGGCAAAGCAAAAAGACAGGTAGGAGATGAGTGTGTCTTAGTCAGTGAGTAACTGCCTCCCTGCAGACTATGTGTGAGGTGAGAAAACAAACCCCCGTTGGCGTAAGCCACGTTATGCGCAGCAGTACCTAATCCTGATACTTGGCTAACTCCTTTCTCTACCTCAGTCTAACACACAAATCTGACCACCACATGTTCCTGTCTAGGACCCTTGGGTGGATCCTCCCTCACCTGCAGGCTGAACCGTGAGCTGGAAAGGCCCTGAGGCTTGGCCTCTGTCACCTCCTGCCCTTTCCTAGCTAGACCTTTAGCAAAACTGAACTATTGGTAGTTCCCCATCCACACTGATAGCTTGACT